TCAAGAAACTCTTGACGGGATATACACTTATTTCAATTCCCACTAAAAAGGTAAGTAACGGGGGATAAACATACATTAAAAATTAAGAGAAATGTTAATGTTACATTAATTTCCACTCGATATAATTCAAACAAGAATCACTCGAAGTTCTCTTAGATATATACATTATTTAGATTTGCCGAAATAAAAACAGGCCATGTAGACTTATACAAATAGAACTGTCACAAACATAGGACATGGACTTCATTAACCAAAGTGTCAAACGACCACTTAGGTCGGCTTAGGGGCCTACAACGATTGCTAGTGTTCTTATAAGTATTTTGGAGAACCCTTGCTATTGTATGAGGATTGATGTAGCCGATGGGTCAACGAAAAACACCATTACGAATGTTAACAAGCTTTCACTCATGCCGGTTTACTTATGTAGACTTATACACACGCAGGTGTGCGCTGTCTTTCTTTCCGATTAAAAACACAGGTTAATAGCCAAATCCGAACAAGTGCCAAGGGGCCCGAGATCTGCGGTGAAAAAGAAATACTTCTGGAACAAGAAGTATATAATGATTTAAGAATTAAATCGGCCATGAATAACCCTTTATTTTTCTAATCAACAATAACAAAGGTAATTCTTAAACTGTGGATGTCAAAGTCACTAACACTCACGACTAATTTGGATTTGAAAAGTCAACAAGGTCCACTTGAGACGCATTAGCTGGCACAAGAAGTTCTATCGACAGCACTGCACTGCATGCGCACGGAGCGCTCCCCCGGTGCAAGGGGTCACTGCTGTATAAGTAAACCCTTTTCAGATCAATAGAATACCTTCCCCATTTTCTCCAAATTTTAACAGGAGCTCCATTATAAATGACCTATCAACAGAATTAATCGACAGTGTCGTGGGGACTCAGTGGAATTTTTACTATTCCAGCAGTGATTCATGATCATGCTGAAAGTAAGCCCTAGCATATTGTATCTTTACCTGATATTTTAAAAATTTTCGGAAACCAAAATTTGGTCGTGAAAATTCTTAACTGAATTTTAAAATTATGAAATAATTTAGTCTGATATCCTTGAGAATATTTTTTGGTGGTTGAAAATTACATTATGGCACATATCCCAGTGCTTGTGAACATAGATATATTCATAATTATTATCTTCATATAGATAGGAAAGCATTTAACGAAGGCCATTTTTTTTTTATCAAAATCACCGGTAACTATTCTTGTAACTTAAAGAAACTTGGTGTTATCAGAGAGGCAAAAGTCCAAAGTTATGGTGGAGCGCAGTTCGGAATGTCTTTGATTGCCCTCTTTGCAGGGTCGCGCTAATACGGATAAGTCTGTAGTTTGTCGGACAAACGGTAAATTTGATCCTCAACAAAGTATTATATAAAAACCTGTCGATATGTGCACAGATACAACGTTCAATCAGGAATAAACAGTCAAGAAAAGGCCTTTTCGGACGATATCTGAGAAAAGATCGACAGAAAAACATTACCAATCCTCTTATGCCTATACGCCAAATCGTCCAGAAGGCAGCGAGCGAACATCGAGGCTGATCGTGGCTAATTGTCAAAGCAGTCCATCAAAATCTCTAATCCGATTACTTAATTTTCACCTGAAGAATTTTCTGTCAGTCTTGATTTGATGCCATGGAGTTTACCTGAAATATTACAGAGATATCAAAATGTTTATGTTGGCGAGCGAATGCTACTTCTAGTCTGGACTTGAGAGTCGTATGGCATAACCCGAGTGTTTTCGAGGGTCTATCGAACGCTCCTACATCCAACTATTGTATGAAATAGAAAATGCATAAAATCTCATTTATTCTTAAAAGTCAACACAGTATGAAATATTAGAAGTCTCTTCAAGGATAAATCTCGTTTAGCTAAACCTCTTCTCTGAGCGCTACAATGGTACTTTGCGAAGCGAGAGTGGACAATACGCTCAGTCACACAAACGAATGAAAGTACTCATGGACACACGAGCTCTTGTAAAGAACGGATTATTTATTTATGAGAATGAAAGTCGGATAAATGCTTCTATCAGATAATCTGGATCAGATACAGTATTCACAGACGCTTCACAAATCATAACAAAACATGAAACTACTCAAACACAATGGAGACCCGAACATATGCCATTGTTGAAATTCACACTTGGGGCATGGGGTACCAATGTCTTCAATAATTTATAAAAAGGATTAATATTCGATAGTTCAATACCTCTAATGATGAGAAATGTTGGAAAAGCAAAGGGTTTTCAGTCAAAATTTGAACATTTTCTATTTCTCAAATACTGTTTTTCAAGACTTTATTTCATATCCTCTCGAAAACAATCCAACCGATTATTCTTCGCAAACATAACCTTATGCTCAGAAATTTCCCTCCCTAAAGTTAAAAAAACAGGTGAAGTTAGATTTAAATTATTTCCCACTAGAAAAATCAAGAATGTCGAAATACCACATTCACACTGAAAACAGCTTTATTAAGAAAAATAAAGTTGGAGTTAGTAAATGCTACACATTGGTATCTATGCCATCTCACGGTACGTGGCTTAGTTTGTGAAGGGTGTTGGTGTTTTGGTTGAGGTCGTCGTCGATGGACAGAAGTGTGATAAATGGGAAGACCAACCACCACTGTTCTATGCACGTAACAGTCATTTATAACAGTAGAAAAACAAACATAATGTAGAGGTCCTCTGATAATAGAAAGATACAGGTGTAGGAAGACCTGCGTGTTCAAACAGCTGTTACGACAACCAAAATTCTGTTCCCGGAAGTGATACACTTTTTTAAAAACTTTTTTTTCTGACAAAATCACATTTAACATCACTATGGGGCTCTCAAACTAATAATATATATATGAATATACGTTGTGCGCTTTGGTCCAGTTCCTAATTCATTTTCTTTCTCGGTGTGAATTTTCCGCTCTTGAGCTAGTAATAATGAATAACGTTTTGATTCTACATGTGAAAATTTCTGAAGGAATATCAATGTCACGTCTGCAGCATTTCTTGAATAAACAGAGAGGGCCAATTTATGCCCGAATACGGAATTTTTCATAGAGAATTTACGACAGGGCAATCATGGGACAGTTAACGGGCGCTTTCCCGCAGTCGTCAGCTCGTTATCTTCGCTTATGTTGACAGAAGCGCCACGGGATTCCATTACTTGATAACCCCTGCTATTTTATTCCCCTGTCCCCGAAATCAAGGGGGTATATTCCCTGTTTAAATATTCCATTTTAATTGCTTTACGACGGGAATAAACATAATCGATGTTAATATCTGTCATAATTTTTGCATCTGTTTAAGATAGCTCTGTAACCTCATTTAACCAATGCAATTATTCTAAAATGCAATTCTCCAATATTAGTGACCATTTTGTCGAAATTTACCTACTGAATAAAAAAGTATACAAGATCTAAGTTTCCCCCAGCGTATCAGTGATGATAAATTTTGATATTTCAAGAGCTCAAAAGCACCCTTGTTACACCGTGTTTAGTGCCATCAAGGGTAGGGACGATAGTTTTCAACTTCATCTTCTACTGTACTTAACACGGCAGTATCAATGGAGAAGCGTTTTCACCTGTGTCGCGGTACTTACCCCTGTGTTTGACACTTACGGCCTTCTTCTCCGCCACAAGAGCCTGTTTTTACACACTTTCCGAAGTTTGGAGAGACCATTACTTCAGCTCTTACGGTCCTCGTTTTAAGTTGAGTACTCGTGTCGATTTCCGTCTGTACACCGGGTACACATTTGTCTGTACATTACATTTCATTCAATGTTTTACATAATTATCTACTTTGACGAACACCATGTGCAAGATTTTCCTAGAACATACAGTATATATACAGTTGACTTACTATTTGTTTCCCGATTTTTTTTTTTGTTTCTTGTATATATGTATTTTTATTTTGCGCAGAGAGAGAGAGAAAGAGAGAGAGGGGGAGGGAGGGGGGAGTGTCTCAATTATAATACTTAGTTGCAATAAATATTGCTTTCAGAATAAATAGCTAAGAAAGTATTGCGACAAAGCTGATAATTTCAAGAGAGTAATACAGGTCAAATTCAAACTACCTAGAAATGAAACCAGACAATTGTTACAAACAGTACAGAACCATTGCGGACCAAAGTTTGAAGAGAGTCCAATGTAGGATTCGTGTTTGTGGGGAGGGGCGGTCGGCGGGCTGCGGGGACCCCAAGACTAAGTCTGTATTATTTGTTTTCACGTCGTTCGTGCCGATTAAATGGAAGTTGGGGTGTAGCATATAAGCCCCCGACAAGTGCGTGTTTTGCTTTTCATTCATCGTGCCAAATCAATCGTTTCTTGCTATGACAGATTGTGTCAAAATGGTAAGGCTTGGATGTTTAAAATGCCACAAACATCCCTACATGCTGTCAAAACAGAGCTCGACGTTTAAATCCCGAAATTTCCAAGTTTACAAAATATGACTGTCGAGTTGACATCATGAAGTGGGCAAGCTTAATAAACCTCATGATAAAGTTATGGTTATCAGAAAAAAAGTCAGCCTAGGATATCCTTGCTGTGTTCTGGTTGTGCACTTCATGTGCTTATCCTTGTGATCTGTGCTAGATTGCTTCTTTTTGGAGAGAATAAATAGTTTTATCTGTCTACTGCTGGTGCATGACGTCATCAAGAGATGTCGTCTGCGTTTCTACTTCAGTGGACCTACATTCTAAACATGCTGAGCCATCTCTGCTCGTTATGGTAGCTTATCATAAATGTTTGTCCCAGTGTCATTACATGTACCTGTACTGTGATTTCTAAGCACTGTACACGGAAAATTCCCTCCAAACAAAACCAAACTCAGACTGGGTACCAGTTCAAACTAAGGGACGAAATACAATAAAAATCAATGTTTTTACTTTGTGAAGATCTGATTTTATGAATTATACACTTATTATACAATGTCAAAATTCTCTTTTATAATAAAATATATAAATCCAATGTTCACAAATAAAATAATGATGTCTGCAGTCTATGTTGTCTCAGTTGTTTAAAATAAAACTCTAGTCCAAGCTGTTCTAACCCATCTGTAGCAGGTGAATCACTGGTTTCAATACCGCTGCTGATAACCCTATAAAATACAAATCAATGAATTCAATCACAGTGTGTTATTTTATGATGAACTAAGAGGCCCATGGGCCACAATGCTCACCTGAGTAACTTTGGCTTTGCTGTTCTTCACCAGATTTTCCTCCTTGTAATACCTATTGTGGCCCCACCCTACCCCAAGAGGTCATGATTTGAACAATTTAGAGTCTACACTACCCCAGAATGCTTCCACATAAATTTCAGCTTTTCTGGCCCAGTGGTTCTTGAGAAGAAGATTTTTAAAGATTTTTTCTATATATTTCAATGTAAAACTTGGATTCCCTATTGTGGCCTTATCCCACCCCCGGGGGTCATGATTTGAATAATTTAGATTCTACACTATGCCAGGATGCTTACACATAAGTTTCAGCTTTTCTGGCCCAGTGGATTTTTTTTAATGATCCCACCCAATTTTTGGCTTTTCTTGATTATCTCCCCTTGTAAGGGGACTTGTCCCTTTATTTTAATAATTTAAACTCCCCTTCTCCAAAGGATGCTTTGTACTAACTTTGGTTAAAATTGGCCCATTGGTTCTTGAGAAGAAGTTGAAAATGTGAAAAGTACAGATGGACAGATGGGACAGACAGATGCACAATGGACAAAAGGTGATCAGAAAAGCTCACTTGAGCTTTCAGGTCAGGTGAGCTAAAAATGATAGGACATATATTCTGATAACATGAGAGAAGTTGGTGATTTAAAAAAAAATTCAAGTTGCTTAACTCCTTCAAATGAATTGATAGGAAATATTTTGTTCAGCGAAAACTTGAGTTTCTCTTGATAAATATTTCCTTGTTTGTTGTATAATGATTGAAGATAATTACATGCATGTCTTGTTCAGTAATGCTCCTCTGCAGTGTGTTTTATTTATGTCACTATAATGAGACCTACCAATCTGCCTCTGGGATGTTTCTAATCACCCCACACAGTCACACACATATTTTTACACGTCTTCTATTTATGTCATTGTAATAAGACCTAAAACATCCTACACATAAATTTTACATGAAGAATATTTTTTTCTTACCCCTCTATTATAACTTCCTCTATTGTTGTAGCCAGAATTTCCCCTGTTGTTGTAACTATTGCCTTGGTAACCACCACCTCCTCCATAGCCTCTCTGCTGTTGTTGTTGGTAACCTTGGTTATATTGTTGATTCTGCTGATTGTATTGCTGGTACCCCCCTCTTCCTCCTCCTTGCTGATACCCTCCTCCCCCACCTGACTGACCTTGCTGACCTCTGCAATAACAATGACTTTTTTTATCTCTTTTGTAATATAAAAACGTAAAATTTATAGTGAATTCTTCCAATAGTAAGTGCTAGATACACTTCGTTTAATATTTTTTTATCTTGGGGAAAAAGACAATACTTTAATGATTTACATTTTATATCCAATGCTTGCTATCATTTTGATACAAATGAAAAAAAAAATGCTTTCAAGATTGATTTTGCCAACAGTAATTTCTAAAACTTTGCATATTATTTTCTTTTAGACCTTACAGTCTGTTTGATCTGTAGATTGAAAGACCTTAAAATGGTATTTTTATCAATTAAATGAATCCTAAGGATTTCAGACAGGAAATTGTTCAAAGAGAAATTTTGTAAGGCACAAGCTCCAACATGGTGCTCACAATTTGTCAGACCCTCCTCATCACGCCTTGAATTTCTATCTATAGAAAACTAGCTAAATGTGTGGAAAATATGTAAATACTAATTAATTAAACTGCTTTTAATATTCTACTTCATGAAAAGGCGTACAATATAGTTCCACAATGCTTCTCAACTTTGTTCCAAAAAAATCTGTGTCTTTGTCAACAGTCAGCATGTGTTAGCCCTACCGTCGAAAGAGCCCAACACTTTTCACAAATCTAGACATAATTACCAATGATATCTCTTTCAGATTTGAAGAACTGTGCTAATTGTGGTGTATTTGTGTGCTTCTTTTTCGATCGGCAGGGAGTCGCGTATGAGTTTTACACAGGTGTTTCCTGCCATTGCCTGTGCCGATCCTGGCCGCGCTCAAGTACCCCTCTTCATATTTAATTGCTACATGTTCTTTGGGGTTGCTTTATAAATCTATGGTTCTAATTTCCTTGGAAATCAACACAAAACCCTAATGAGATCATTTACTTGCCTTCATTTACTAAGAGGTGATATAGATTATATTGGTGGGGATATTTACTATATGGTTGCATCTTGTAGCTATTCTTTTTAAGAACTTATATGATACTGAATACCTTTCAATTGACAATATAAATATATTACTGGTACATAATGTGAAAATTATATCTTGTACAAGTAATTCTTTTTTTTACATTCTTAAATCACTGAAAATGAAACAAATCTGATACAAAATTAACTGATAATTTAATTATACATCTACTTGTATGCATAAACTCAGGTTTTAATCTTTGAGCTTTATTTGAAATACACCTCCTTGCCTTTTCAATTATACTTTATAAAAGTCACTGCTTTGAAGTCTGCCAATTAAATGCTCTAATATTGACACAGATGATGTCCCGTAAAGCTCTCTTTTTTTACCTTTCTAGTGACAGAAGTGACAAGCAGTCATTCAAAGAGGGTTTTAGAAGTTTCTTTAGATGGAACAGTAATGTAAATAATTTCAATTCATAAAGGAATGTTTTTGATCTATTTTCAAATGTGAATGTCAAAATCTAAATAATTCTAATGAAATTGTTAACTGCATCTTGATTTTTTGAAGCATCTGTTTAATAAAAATGTTCATGAAAAGAATTCAACATAAAATCAAAGTACTCGTACCAAAAAAGAAGTTTTACCTGCGTGTACTGAGTGATTTACATAACATCATTTATTCTATTTTTGTGGTAAATGTTTTAGGCAAACTACTACTAACTATAAGTGAATTGTTCATCTGGTGTCTTACCTGTAACCATACCCAGAGTTGTTGCCAAACCTGGGGTTGTTGCCAAAGCCAGAGTTGTTGCCATACCCAGAGTTGTTACCATAGTTGCCAGAAGCACCATATCCCCCTCCTTTAAATAAGAAAATAAAGGTATTGTGAATATTATCTACCAGACATACAGAAAATGATAAAAAATTGCTAACAAAATCAAAGTAGTTCTTGTCCACTCAGAACAGAAAATATTCCTTTTTTATTTATTTATTCAATTGATATACAAAATGCCACAGAAATTCTGTTCGTTCCCCTCTGATCTTATATACAAAGAAGCATTAGACCAAACTTGTGGATAAATCACTTATTCATCATCAAGCTTTTTTTCTTCAAATGTGTTATTAGTCTTGTATCATGTATAATATATTCATTTAATTCTTTACATGAAAGTAATTAGCAAAATTAAGGGAGACAAATGATGCAAAATTATCTCCCTTCCCAAAGGCACCAGGTAATGAATTGTGAAACCAACCTTTCACCTGGAGAAAGAATGACAGAACCCTCCATTAAACACTGGAAAAAAAGATATCTATTGGGCAAAAAAAAGTTTTTCCTCATCTAGTTTAGCAATTCATTCATGAAACATCAAATTATGCTCGACTGTGCCAGTAATGGCCCCGAGGGTAAGCGGGTCTGACACCATCTCTGTCTCCTCATTAAAGCTGAGCTCATTTGTAGAACCACCATGTACAGTTCCCCCTCCCTACATTATCATGTGCTTAAACAGATTTTGGTAACCCATGCAGGATAATTTCGTAAATTTAGCATCAACATTTCATACAAAAAAGAAAAACTGCAAGACTTAAATTAGAATCTGTAGAACTGATGAATGAGAAAATGTTGCCTTGTTTGATTTGGGCGGGAGGACTTTAATAACAGCAGATGCTTTGGGTCTGACTGACTTAATGTTGGGGATGTTTGATTTAAATTGAGACTATAATTTGGTGGAATCAACATATAATTAAATGCTGCTAAACTGATTGATCTGTAAAAAGACCTCACAATACCAGAATCATTTTGGCATTTGTTAGTTAAATACTTTATTTTTGTATTACAATAAACACAATTGAGAATAAAGCATAACATGCACATCAATTTATTTTAGGTACAAAACAAACTGAATAAAAAAAAAGTTTAGATAAAGATAAAATGTTGCATAAACTTAAGATCCTTTAATATATGAACATATTATAATCATACTAGAAGATTTCATGATTAAGGCTTTTTATGCCTTAAAATTCACAGGTCATGCATTAAAAAATGAATTTTTAAAAAATCACTGTTTCAATAATTTATTTTTTCAAATTAAATTTTAAAAAAAACTACTACGATTTTCTAGGAATATTCAGAGAACCATAAAATAAGCAGCTTGATTTAAAACGTACGTAATTTATTTTTTTAAATTAAATTAAAAAAAATGATTTTCTAGGAATATTCAGAGAACCATAAAATAATCAGTAGCTTGATTAAAACGTTTACTGTATAAGCAAGCCATGCAAGGTCACTAAGAAAGCAAGGGTTTGAATTATTGAATCAAGCCATCATTATTGTGAAGGAGGCCATGGCCAAGATTGACAAACTCCGATTTTTTATTAACTTGGCAATAAATTTGACGGAATGAAGAAACCATTAAAGATCTGAGATTGTGTGTAATCAAAAATGACGAGTTTTTGTTGCAGACAAATTGAAGAAAAATCCAATTTGGTGAGATGGAATAATTCCTTAAAGAGTGTACAATTGATTGCAAGAACCTCTGAGCTGCTTTTCACAGCAAGATGACAACAGCATCCAGTAAAGATGGCTTAGGAATTACAGTAAGAATTGTCACGATGAATAAATCTGCATGAAGAAGAGACAAATCGCCATATTTAATGAAGATAAGGGCAAGAGATTTCTTCACTGGAGGACAGCAGGGTCAACAATTATCACCTAGCCAACAACATGAAAGATACCCATAATCATCTAGTCAGATTCTAATAAGAAATATACACTCTGCAATCTGCCTACTTCCAAGCGACTTCTAGACTCCTTTGTCAAATATCTCTTATAACCAGTGCTGTGCTTGTAAAAAGATTCATTTCACAGTTTGTCATGATTGTTGCTAAAATCTCATTATCACAGGAAGCTGAAAACTATTTCACTTTTTTTAAAAGCTGAAACCATTTTGAGTCCTTAAAGAATTTGCTGTGGGAAAGGATAAACTCTTATATAGACTGTTTCATGGTAACTGCAGTACTGATCTTTAGCAGGGCAAAATGATATAATTTGGTGAAATACGATGTAAAAGTAATTGTTAAATATAAGTCATTTCATTACCTGTCAACAAAAACTTCGCTAAACGTTGTTAATTTGCCCTGCAAAAGAGTACCACAGTTACCGTTAAGGGGCTAATTCTAAAGGTTTAAAAAGTCAATCAACATGGAGAACAGGTCAAAAAACTGCAAAAAAAAAAAAAAAAAAAAAAAAAAAAAAATATGGATGACTTTATGCAAGTGGTACTTGTGTTTTAAAAAACCCAGTTTCCTTAAAATCTTTGAAAAGCCTCTCAAAGAGGGAAGAATATACAGAGAGATATCTATAATTAGGGAAAACAAGGCATATTTTAATCAGATGTCTAAACACTCAGTCAGAAAACTACTTCACTAGTATCCACTTCTCTGTTCTGATAAATGTTGGGTATTCTCCACCTGATTCGGTCCTTTTAAAAATACAACACTGTTTGCAGAGCAGATGATAAATGATGTCACCCGGGGATAATTTCCTATTAACTACACAAAGATCTAGGTGTTTATTATCTCCCTGCATGAAAGGCAACATTTATGTTCTTATTATTTTGACTCTCATCATCGTTTTCTTTAAGTTTGGCCATAGGATTTTGCAATTCTCTGCTTGAATAAAAACTTTGAAGAAAAAAATTAAGGAAATTTTTTTTTCTCGAAAAAAAAATGTTTGACGACAGTTTGCACAATCTCAACAGGCTCCTTGTAAAACAGTCAGCAATTATCTGATTACAAATACTTCAGAACTACTCTAGTACTTTAAACTTTCCTCATTCCATCAACTTTGAAATCGTGAATAAGTTTGGAAATCTGTTACAATAAGGAACTTTTTCTGTGCAAGCTGCAAATACATATGCAGACTTTAATCAGAAAATAAACAATGATTACTTTAAACTTAGTTAAATCTCAAGATACTCTGATAATGTTGAAGAATTAAAGCTGTAAAATAATAGACAAATGTCTCCAAACTTTCCATCCTTCTGACAAAGCCTTCCCTATCTTAATCATCACTCAGCTTGAACTTTACATTTTTATTCACACACATTTTCTATTCATATGAGAATTTTCATTTTTTTCCTGCCCTTTAGAATTGTTTTTATTTATTTATTTATTTATTTTTTTTGGTAATGAAAATGGCTTCGAGTTAAAACACAAATCTTTGAGGCAAAGGAAAAAAAGAATTGGATCAGGTCTTCTCATGAATTCCCCCAATATAATTTTTATTGAAAATTGAGTATTTCATTTGAATCACTGCATCAAGCAAAGGATGAAAAAAGAATCAAGTAAACAAAAAAGCAGACCCCCTCCCCCCCCCCCCCCCTTCCCCCCAAAAAATTGTCATAATAGTTGTTCTTGATTTACTAAGTGAGTTTAAGTCTACACCAGACATATGCTACATTGTTTACATTCCATATATATTTATGCTGCAAAAGTCACTATTGGATCAATATCTCTTGTACTAATTTCAACTTCCAGTTTAAAGCATATCTGAACTAAAACATACATGTTTTTATAAAGTTTGTTGAATTTAGTAAAAAAAAAAAAAATTAAAAAATTTTTTTTCATATATTTCTTGGTAAATTTTAGTTACAAAAACAAATTCTCCAGAATTCAAAGATACTTGGTAATTCTGGAAGCGGGCATACTTAACAACAAAAGTGTTTAAATGGTATTTCTTTTAAACTAGGGAAAAGTGGATCATATGTGGTTGTGGCTTAAAAATGTCAGTGATTCTGTGTTCCTCAGCAAATTTCATGGTATTTATCAACATTTTTAATGTTAACTAAAGCAGTGAATGGAAATAAAGGCAGGTAACAATGAACATCAATATGGACTCCTGATATTCTGTTCATTGGAATCTGAAGTCATTTGTCTGTAAACAAAAAAGAATACACAACTGACATAGCGGCCCTCGTGGCCAGGAAAGTATTTGATTCATTATTTCATATGTACAACATTTGATTTTCTTCTGTAACCCAGTAAGATTGGTGCTAAATAAAGGAAAGTCACTCTTTCCATGGGAAAAATTCAATCACCAAATATTTTCAAAGAGCAATAACTCGTTTATTCTTTGCCCCAAAGTTTTGCAGTTTTTTTTAAATACATATAGGCCTACATATAGGCCTACATGTATATGAAATCAATATTAAATGCTTGACTTATGTCACTAAATGATGTCTAAAAGCATTTTGAAATTAAATTTATCTTTTTATACTGATGGACTGGATTACACATTTGTACAAAATTAATATTACTTGCATCTCACAATTCTTTATCTGAAAACTTCTTGCAATCCCCAATACTAACTTAGATGGGGAGAAGTCAAAATGATCCCCTGACTACATCAAATTTGATTATGCAATTAATTTATAGGAAGCTCTTTTCTTTTAGAGCATATAGGTATGTATTATGTAAGTGAAGGATCTAATTTTGAATAGAATTCATGAGAGTACATGTTTAATTATAGACAATTTCATAAATAAGCATATTTTCAAGTACATATATATCATGCATTGTTTAGTAAATACCAGTATATTCGGTAGACAATTTCCACTCTACTTATGTTATTTTAGGAAGGGCGTATTAGAACCAATACCAAAACTGGTACTCACTTTGTTGGTATCCTCCTCCCTGTTGTCCAAAGTTCCTTGGGGGTGGTATCCTAGCACCGTACTGATTTCCGACACCATGTCTATAAAACAGTTTCATCAATGATTTTTGGATTAAGATTACTCTCTATGTAAAATTTAATTGAGAAAAACTGACATAAATGTATTACTATTTGCCTTTCTTGACCCTCTTTTCGGGATAACTTTCAGAACAAGGTAATAGTTCATAATCACACAGATTTATAAACATTTTAAAACAAAATAATTTTAAAAGATAGCTTCAAAAAAGGTGCTAAGTTCATCTTATTTCTAAATTGTTATTCCTTTTCAGGAATTTTACAACAAATTTTGCTTCAGAAAACTTAAAGGGCAAGCTAGCCTACTGTGGTTTCATAAAATTCATTTTGTGGTTTACTTGCTATAAATATTCATAAAACTAAAGACTAAGTAACTAAAAATACTTTTGGTCATTCACATTCTTTACTGACTCTCATTGTAATCTCGAAACATGAATATTCATGCAGAAGAAATGTAATACATACATGTATGTATGATAACAAGAAAGAGAAATTGTCTGAATACCAGTTTGTGTATATTTAGTTGATAGAAATAATTACACAATGGAAACCTATTCGTGAAGATGGTAATATTATAATTGTGTATAACTGTATTATTATGTATGTTAACTGATTAAAGGTGTATGTTAACTGATTAAAGGTAAGAGCAAGTACGTTGGTCTTTACTTGCTATTACTTAGAACAGAATTAATCTGTATTAGGACGAAGTGAGGGAGAATATAAATCATCATTCTAAACACCAATTTTTATTGTTTTCAAGGTTAAACCCGCAAACCATGAAAATATAAGTTATCAAAACCCAATAAAATTTACTAATCATGAAAAAGGACAAGGTATCTGTCCAAAAATTAACATATTCAATAATGGGGGGGGGGGGGGGGGGGGGCACAAAATTGATCCTTCCAATTAGTGGTACAACGGTATCCAACAAACTTTAAAGTATAGTTTCGGACAAATGTACATTGACATGACATTCAAAGATAGACTCATTTGTGTTTTGTCTTGTCTGAGGCAGAAAACATTATTTCAAGAAATTCATTAGAAATTTTTTTTAGCTCCTTCATGTATGTATGTACAACTTGAAACAAATATGCATGATATGATTTGTTGAAGTCTACGAAAATTTATGATGTAAATTTCAACCATTTCTGACAAAGTGGAGAGGGAGTTGAAGAGATTATCCCAGCAAGCAATGGAAAATCATGAATAATGATGCATCCCTTTCCAAAGTGGTGGCCATTTTTTGTAATGTTAATTTGCTACCTTGTCAATATATTAGTTGACCTCAATGGTTCCAATCAAAACAGAAAGTTTGGGGGGGGGGGGGGTGCTCTATTGATATTCCCTATTTCAAAACCCAGGTATTTATTTATCTTGAGATATAATGCAAAAGTAATGTCCTAGGTACCGTGGAACAGACTGTAATAGAGCAAGTTAGGTATATGATCAGATTCTGTACTTTCTTGTATCAGCAAACCCTATATGTGCCCCTACCTAATCATGCGGTTAGCTGGGCCCGTGTCCTTTCCTCGGTACATACTGTTGCGTGACATGCCAATTTGAGGTCTCCACCCTCTACCTGGATTTCTCTGATTAAAGTCCTCAGGTTTTAGAACTCTGTCTGGCATCCTGCATTAAAAAAATAATAGGAATTAATTTTTGGACCTTAATGATTTGGATTTAACTTTTCAGAGAAGATATTTTTGTATTCTACCTTATTAACAAGTGTTTTTCTTGTTTCAGATACATGGTATTTCCCTATTAATCCAAGAATGGATCTATTCTATTATTTTCTATTTATTTGTATCAGTCTAATATTGACTTTTTCCTACTTGCAGAACTGAAATAATATTGAATTCTTAAAATTGTGAACGTTACACTAATTAAACAAAATTAAAAAAAAATGAAATGAGAAAAGTTTTAATATCTTTACAAGTCTTTTTGTTTTTTATAACACAATTGTATATTCATCTCATTTTCAGAATGTGGTATTAAATGCCTTTTAATTTTGTAACCAAGGAAAACAAAGAACTATACCTCTCTTTGATATAGTGCCTAAAGAAACCTTGTGTTAATTTAAGGAAGCTTATGACTCATTGCCACAAAATTTATTCATGGAATGAGCCAACATCCTTTTTTCTTTTTGCACTGTTAATTCATGTTTAGATCACCTACCTGTTAGTTTAAAGAACAAACCAAAAAAGTAAATTTATCTTCAATATGATAAATTCACATTAAAACATTATCAAAATCATTGTTAATTCTAATCTTAAAGTATGAAATATTAGTAAGACAAAAACCTGAAATAATCAATTAAGATAATTCAACATAAGAAACAAAAGTGTATGTTTATAAAAAAAAAAAAAAGAACCCATATCTTGGACATAACTCTATCACTCATAAACTCTGAACTTCTTGTTCAGGATCTAAAAATATCTTTAAATCTTTAAGTATATTCACTGCCAGTTCTTCATATGTTGATAGATAGGGAATAAATCTAGCTTGGGGGCTGGGGGAGGTGTCACTTGTTTCTCTTTAAACCTTTCCATGTAAAAAGTACATGTATTCATTTAGCAAGCATAACTCTAGCTTCAAATTACTATGCATACATGTATCTTTAACATTATTCAGTTGTCTTAAAAAATGTACTGAAAACTTAAAATGATTTAAATTAAATCAAAATACTTTAATATGCAATTTTTCAAGTTCCTCTAAAGTGAATTACATTTCTGTTTAAAATCATGACTTAATAAAGTGCCCCGCCACAGCATGATACGCCCGTCAAATATTGTTCAATTGTCATAAACAGTTTAGAGTGCAAGAAAATGATGTCAACCTTGATACAAGGATATCAATGATTTTTCCATTCCTTTTAATATTTGTTTATACATCTCCTGTGGTGTAGGCATTAATTATAACAAATATTACATTATAGATCCTCAACTGGTTGTGTTAGAGCTTGACAAATGTCCATCTGCAACTCCCCCCCCCCCCCCCCCCCAATATCATATTAAACAATATCAATTTAGTCTTAACAACTTAATCTATATCAAATTAATATTAAAAATAAAAGGCTGGCCATCAAATGACATATGCTATAAACTGACCAGCAGTTCTTCTGTCTAATTCCCAAAGAATACAGATAACAGCTGCTTGATCAGAGATCATCTAACAGAAATGATTGAGACAGCTAGCCTCTCTACACTGAACTCATTAATTAATCTTTATCTGCATGGATGCATGTCCACTCATTAATCCCAATGGATGAATGGATCTATACATACTATCTGTTTTGTAGTGCAATAAAAATGCATATTTATGTCATTCTGAAATTAAATTTGAAAAAGATTTTTTTTTTAAATTTGTTACAAAGATTTATAGAAAGAAACAAAAAACTTGTGTAATCTTGATCTGCAACATTTTTAATAAGGTTCCTGCAATTTACTCTTAGATTTGTAGGGACTATCTACCATAATTAAAAACATTTTTTTAAATACTTGATTTTTTTTAGATTTAATGTCAGACTGGTTTTAAGCTGCAATATCGAGTATAATTAGTTTTAATTATATTATATAATAATTATATTAATTATATTATTTAAATTATAATTTGTTATACAATATCAAATAAGTTTTAATTACTTTTCAACAAATTCATTTTAAAAGTTCGGCTAGCCAACTATTTAATCCAACAAAGCTGATTCTTTTTGCCCAGTTCCCAAGAGATATAGATAACACCTGCTTGATCAGAGATGCTCTACCAATTAGCTCCTCACACTAAACTCATTAATTTCTCTCTAATTTGACATGCAATTTTCTGTTATCAAATTCTTCTTGACCAGTGCTTGATAATTACACCCATGGGAGAGGTGGAATTTTTCCTTGTAACATTACATTTGTTATAGATTGCTGTAAAGTATATTATGAAAAAAATAAGTATTTTCTTGATTTAACATTTTTTTAATAAGGATACTGCAACACTCTTGCATTTTTTGGGATTGTGTAATCGAATAGTAAAAAACATTTCTTTTTTAAATTTCACTTAAATTAAAGGTCACAGTGACCTTGAAATAGGTCGCGACACACCTTCTACCTAAGATGCATAAATTGACCAAGTTTGATGATTCTAAGTCTTATAGTTTTCTAGTTATGAGCCAGACAGGATTTTTCCATATTTGGCCATAGCATCTTAATTAAAGGTCAGAGTGACCTACTTTCAATCTGCGACACACCTTCTACCCAAGAAGTATCAGCTGACAAAATTTGATAATCCTAGGCCTAATAGTATTAAAGTTATGAGCCGGACACGATAAAAGCTAACAGACGGACAGACGGACGGACGGACAGACGGACGGACATGAACGCCATAACATAATATGTCCCGTCTAAAGACGGGCGTATAATTATAAAAAGTTATGAACTTTAGGACATTTGTCATACTTACACAGCACCCTTGAGAACCACAGCCTCAAATAAGAAATCCACATCATACTGTGGGTCCTTGTAGTGAACACTGACCAAAAAAAAAAACCCACAATAGAAATATGAAATCATAATACAGGGTCACCATGAATTCTTCATCTTCTAGAAAAATTCAGAATGTCAATTATGGAAAACTCCAGTTATATATGTACATTCTGTGAGAATAATTGTTTTTAACATGACAAACCTGAGTGCTCTATTGTCAGTGATTGGTTCAAGCTCCTTCAATGGGGACTCAACAGTTCTGAAAAAAATACATACACTGCATATAAATTATGTCTACCCATCAAAAAATCATTATACATCTATCTCTTTTTCATACAACTCACATCATTTTTATGTCAGTTGAAATTGTTATCTTGTTACATTTCATTCATGACTAGTGTATGAATTTATATCATTCCACTCTTCTAGGAAATAATTTATTTAAGTATTTTTTCAAACTTACACATATAGATAGATGTATTAAACACTTTTTAGCTGACTGTAATTTCTTTCCCCTACAGATGCCTTACCCTCCTGTTAATGTGGCTCTTTTATCAGACCACACAAGACCACCCATTCCTTCTGCATTCTTGGGATCTATTGGTATTCCCTATAAGAAAGAAACTTTATCAATGCATATTTGAGAGTTATCCTATGCAACACCAATGTATTGAATGTACACATTGTATTCAACTGTATGATTGAATTCATGCAGAACACCACCACATCAAACATTATAAAAACGATTAATCTATCTTAATTTCAAAATCTTACTTCTACATACATTCAACATTACATGTGATAATATCACCTATTAAGTATGTTGCGGATGGTTTGATCCCTTAATTTTTGGTGGAAATAAATCAGGAAAACAATAATATTGACAAACCTCTGTAACTTTCTCTCCTTCATAAAGACCTTCTAGAAATGAATAAGATGGATGTCTAATGCCCACAAACAGTCGATCACTGCCCCAGGTATTTCTGTCTTCTGTAAGGTACAATCAGTTTTCAACTTATAATTTTATTTTGCAGATATATGAATCAATTCTTGGGTTTTAAGTCATGTAGATGGTAGGGCTGGGACGATACAACTTTTTCTATATCGATACGTATCCCGATATTTGAGCCACGATACGATATGTATCACGATATGTTTAATTGGTTATAAATTCTTTTTTTTTTATATTGAAATGAACAAGATATTTCTTCACAAATAAGAATAATTTATTCAAAGAAGTTGTATATCTGTTGTAAAACTAAATTATTTGGTCTTAATTATTATGTATTTCATATTCATATTTATATTAAGCATATTTATTTTACATATTAAACCCAAAATGTTAAGTTAACAAAGAAAAACATTAGTCAGATTTTTTTGGGAAATATGTCGATATTTCTTCATATGTATCGATATGCGTATCATCCTCACATTGAATCGATATTATCGATATCTCGATATATCGTCCCAGCCCTAGTAGATGGTAAATATACATGTATAATCATCCCATTAATCAAAAGCATGTCTTAAATTGTGATGTTTGATTCACTGTTGATATCTAGAACTCACTTTCTTCCTCTGTGAGGTCTGGATACACAGTCTCCAGGGCAGATAATAACCTCTTCTCATCCACAAATGGCAGCAGTGCTACTCCTACAAACAAAGGAAGTTTCAATATAAAGCTATACTGCTTGATAGAGATTGTAAATATAAAGCTACACTACTAGACAAAGATTGTAAATGTTCAATATACATGTAGTTATGTTAAATCACTTATTTATTAAGTTTTCGTTCATCCAACAATGAAGTGAAAGATTACGTTCTCAAAAGTAAATTCTGAGACTGGTTTCCACTAAAGGTACATGCATGGACATATACATGTGGATCCAGGATTAGTTTTTTTATTTACAATATTAATTCTGAATTGGGATTGGTATGAGAAAAATTCTACACAAGTCAAAACCAGAAAAGTTGTACTGACTGAGGTCTTGTTTAATGATGCTGCAGTATCGGTATATTTACTGGTAAATTTTACTGTTCTATGTACTGTAGATAAAACAAGCTAACAATGCCATAGTTTTCTCTGTCTTACAAAGCAGTAACCTGTTATAATTCACAATAAATCTTACCCTGCCATGCATATTTTTTCCCATTGAGATCAATTTTAAAATCAGTCGGATAAAAATCTATGATAGAAGATTCCTGAAAATTGAAAAAAACAAAGCAATTAAAATGAGGTCTTTCATTCCTGAAATGAAACTCTTTTCATCAATAATATTAGATTTATTAAACTCTTTTTTTGAATATCAATTATGCATTAGATACACAAAACCAGTATTGTGGAAAACTGTCGGTTAAACCTGCTTTTATGTTATCGCTACATAAACCATCTACATTTGTCCAAATAAAACTTTATAAAACAAGCAAGACATTGAACATCTTTCAATCACAAACATGAATATAACTTAGTCAATCAATGAAGTACATCATACTGGATATTTACTGGTCCCTGTATATAAATCAACATTACAACCAAAGGCCTAGAGAGATCAAGACACGTGATCATGTATTAGTATTCAATCTAGAATATACTGTACATAAAAGTTTAGTATTGTTTGTTTGCTACTAAAGTGACCTTATGCAAGCAGATTACTGTTAACTTACTACATTTGGTGATGTATTCTATTTAGCAATTTTGGTAGAAAGCAGATTCTGCTAAATCAAGTACAACGTTAAATGACTTGTGTATTATACGTTTATATCTAGCACATTTAGAAAGCGCTAAATAAAATATATGCCACCTTGTTGAAAAATCAATTTCTGCCAAATATTGAACATGCCAAATAAAATACATTTACAGTAATTTACATAACTTGTGGTCTGCCTTGATTTATTTTGACAATAAAACCTTAAAGCAATTTTTTTATTTTGTTTACATATTATGAACATGAAAGCACTAAGCAGCAAGCAGTGCCCCTCTATAGACAAATGACAAACATCACATGTCTGTCACCTACTTGAATTGCCATGAAAAAAAGAAAAGAGACGAGCCTTGCCCAAAAAAACTTAAATTATTATTTTTGTTATGTCTATTACATGTCAACACATGTAATATACATCTTGTATTGTTATCATACATGCCAGTCTAGACTGATTTACTAAATGAACTGTCTACACCTTAAGAATTTAGTTCTTAATACTTGTAGATAACAGACCCAAACTTACCGGATCACACATGAGTCTCTGCCATGTGATCGGGAGATGATTCTTACTTGTAGGTAACAAACCTAAACTTACCGGATCACACATGAGTCTCTGCCACGTGACTGGGAGATGTTTCTTACTGGCAGCTGGAAATACACCCATCAGCTGTTCTAGTGGTCTGAACTGTCAACAAATAATCAACAAATATAAGTTAAATGCAAAATGAGGAATAGTGGAATCAAAAGTCATATGGAAGGTCAAAGTCGAAATTAACATAGTTGAATAGTCTCCCCAATATGTATCAGTGTATGAATTTGAAAAAAAATGTCTTGAATATTCCATTACTTTGAAACTGAGCTAAACACAAAATACGGGTTAGTTATAGGTCAAGGTCACAGTGAAGGACAAAGTCAGAAAATTATGCCATAGTTGGATAGCTCTCACTAATATGTATCAGTGTATGAATTTTGGCTATTATATCTTGAAAAGTTACTTTGAAACTGAGCTAAATGCAAAGTGTGACAGACAGACAGATGGAAGGTCAGAAGGACAGATGACAGACATGACAAACACTAGGGGAGAGGCAGCGAAAGTCGGACGGTTTTTCGGACCCCCTCGTCTGCACCTTTGGTAAACGCTCCAAACTCTTCACATATAAGCGGAAACTTTTACATCACATAAAATGATGTTTTTACCCTCTTTCTATTCTTAATTTTCATTGGTTAAAAGCTTTGTAATGTTATAAATCAAAACCAAACACGGGAAGGCAAGGGCTGCTGATAAAGTCGGACATCGACAGAGAAAGTTGGACATGTAGAATTTTAAGTCGGACACATACTGGTTGACATTTAAAGTCCAATTTTCTTAATTTTTTTAAGGTTAAAACATAGTTAGGGAGTAGGACACGTACATGTAGTGTGGGGGGTGGGGGGACCCCTCACATTTTTCCCAAGCATTACTTTGCACTATTGAAAATTTTCAATGTAATGCTGGTTGCCCCACCACCACCTTTTTTTGTTGCATTACAGTCAAATCAGGGCAATCTGGTGATGTATGAATAATATTTGGATTTGAAAGAAGTTGGAACCCTCCCACTAACCCCCCAAATAGGATTTGAAAGAAGTTGGAACCCTCCCACTAACCCCCCAAATAGGTAAGTTGATTTTTTTTTATTTAGCTGTCCCCTCCCCCCACTTTCAAATACGATACTATATGCCTGGGCAAACTTCGAGTGAACATTTAAGTGATTATTACGTACTAAACTTAGTAGTCATTGTATGGATTATTTAGATAAATTTTCCATTTTAGACCAAGAAATTTAAATGAACATAAAGTATCTTGCGATCTATAAACCAATGCGTTATCTGGTAAATAAATTTTTAGGTTTAAATTGTTTCCAAAATTAAACCCATTTATATAATGATTATAAGACAGATAGCCGGAAAGGAGAAAACTATATATATCCCTCAATCTTTAAAGTGGAATCAGTAATCTATGGAACTAATTTTTTTTTTTTTCAATAAGGAAACGTCTTTTTTCAAAATAAACAATGAATAAACAGTGCTGAGTTATAAACATGAAACTCAAATAAAGCCGTGAAAAAATTATTTGTGTTGATTTTTTTAAGACTTTCTCGCGGCCTTTTCTTCTTTTATTTTCCTCAGTTCCACTATTTCTCATTTCTCTGTTAAAACTCTGAGAGATGTTTTTTGGTTTTATACATGTACATGTAGGTGTTTTTCATTGTTTTTCTGAAATGAAACAAATTCTATAGGTATATGTATCTTTTTATATTTCTTCCTTCCTAAAAGTTGCAGGGAATCAGCATGCAGAATTTGATTTGCAAAAAGAAAATATTCTTAAATTACTGGTAAATTACATTACATAATAAGGTTCCGGGTTCAAATCCCATACCATACCATATTTTTTAATTTTTTTTTTCCGAAATGTTAATAAATTGTTCTACTTTTTAAGATAATTGACAATTAAAAACAATGTATTGTGCCTTGTCCGACTTTAAATGACCCAGAATATAAAGTCGGACAGTTTAATTTTAATGGTTTTTATAAATAAATATCCACCAAATTATTATTATTAAGGGAATAGTTAATATTTATCATATAAAAGTATGCTTTAATCACAAAATATATTAGCAATCACAGAATACAAACAGAATACAAACAGCAAACTGAAGATTTCGCCAAGGATCACTATGTGTTGCGCATGCGAGTTTTTATCCAGATCCGCAAGATGCGTATGTATCGGACAAATTTTAGAGGTTATTTCAAACATTTTCATGACTTACATTTGTATGAAACAACCAATAACACCCTGTAAACAGAGATACTTAAGAAAAATACAAACGGCACTAAATATAGTAATGATTTTATTCTGAAAAAGAAGAGCGTCCGACATTCGATGTTGTCCGACTTTAGCTGTTTCGCCCCTATATGCCCCGGCCATATTCATGGTGAGCATAAAAGAAAACACTTAACAAAATTAACTTCAGTGGAAATAACCATATGACATTAACATTTTCACTTACTGGAACTGTATGTTTCTCAAAGGAGTTAGAAAGCTGTCCTACATTTACAAAATCTGATGCAAAAGGAGCGTAGTGGTAAGGAAAGTACCATTTCCAGGAGGCACAGCCCTATAAACAGAAAACCTATCTGTCAATAACCTCTCAGAATTAACGACACATATAAGGTAAGAAAATACTGTGCTGTAGATTACGTACTGTGAATTATGCTGTTCATTTTGTATGAAGAAAAATCTAACACTTGTTTAAATGTTTATGGATTTACCTGGTAATAATACCTCAGAACCCAACACAGACCTCGGACATAGTGGTTTGCCTGTGTATGAAAATCAGCACAATATGTCAGTTGTAAAGTCTCAAATCGGTAGAGTAAAATCTCTCAATTCAAATTGCAAACACAAAATGAGAATATAAGCATATGTAAAGTTTTACCACTGTGTGTCTGAATTCTATATCTGAACCGTCCACTCCAAACTTGGAGTTGTAGTATCTGTCTTTCCATCCATCCTCCCACAACCTATAACAAAACACTGCATCTAAAGTAGGCATTAGGCTAACATCTATTCTTTTTTAAACTTTTAATATTGTTTATCAATTTTGCTTCATTTCTTTCTTTTTTCTGATTCCCATTAATATAAAATCATTACAGTCAGCAGTTGACATTTAATATCTGAAGGGAAATAATTCATTGGCTACAGATGATCACCTGACTTCATCTGCTGGTTCCTCGTCCTCTTCCTCTTCATCATCTGGTTTAGACTGGTTCTCTGCCTTTCTTTTCTCACCACGCTGATCATCTTTTGTCTTACAATTAAAATATTTACAACGTGAATTTTAATTATCAACTAGGATGATACTCTTTTGGTGAAAATTGAGCCAGATGGGAGAAAAGATGCTCAACCTCTAACCATGGGCACTTTGTGGGTGAAGTTTGAGACAGATAAAATATGCGCCAGACAAGGATTTTACAGAAAGAGGTTTTTAACCTTGACCTTTGATCTACAAAACTCGTTCAAGGTCAGTGCACACCCTTCAACCATAGGCACTCTATAAGTGAAAGAATGAGTGCACTTCAGAGTGTCATTTGGAACCTTTTCAGCCACCCATTTTAAGCCTTGAATTAGACTAGTATATTGCTAGATTAATCTATGATTATTGTGCATACATATGCTTTTGATATTTACATTTCGAATTTTTTATTAAACATATTTCTATAATTCCACACAACGTCATTGAAAATAACATGTATAAGCCTTAAATTCTGGAAATTTGAACTGAACCACTTGCGAATTTAAGGTACCCGCAAATGGGCGGAAATATTTAAATCGCATGGAAGTGGAATGTAAACATTTGCACATTATTTCAAGACTGATTCCACAGTGTGAATTTAAATGGAAGAGAGAGAGATTGTGTAGTTTCATGATTCACACAAATAATAAATGATTCATGGCCATACATATTGACCATTTTGATGATTCGTATCCATAAATTTGCTGACTAGCACCGAATCAGCTCAATCTCAAGTTTTCTTATCTCTCTCTCTCTCTCTCTCTATAAATATATATATATTAAAAGAATGCCCCCCCCCCCCTTTTTTTTACTTTAGCTTGATCATTTTTCGTTATTTTTTTTTCTGAATGCTTTTCAATTCAAAGAAAGAATGTATGTATTAGAAAAGATTCACATTTACATGACTTCGATGTCACACTACATTAATCGTAATTCACTGTACATGTGATATGTAGTAATACAAACATGTGTAGGGAAACAAAGTATACATGTATGTAGTACTCATGGTGATACATATTTTATTATAGGCGTGTATAGATAAACAACATTCGGAAATGAAATATAAAATTTTAACTAAAAATTTGAGTTGCTATGTTAACTTGAAAATTCCAAGAAATACAAACTATCTGTAAAGATTATGCACTTCATGTAATGCTATTGATGATGAATTTCATTTCTTTTTACTATGTAATTATAATATACAAGCAAGGAATATACTTATAAAAACCATGCGAGATAATTATTGTTCCTCATTCTATCTCAAATCACCCATACAGAAACTTGAATATATACTTAGTCCAACACTTGAAGTTATACGGGCTGTTGCACTTTAATAAAAACAATCATTAGAATTAAGAAATAAAAGGTCCACATCGTTGTAACATATATTGAGTAAATTACTTAAATTGCGCCTATTGTTTATAAATATTCATTGTTCTCTGTTTTTTTTTTTTTAATTTTGTATTGTATTGCTTGACCCATATGGGTGTATTATGCAATAAAGAAATTATAAATGTAATTTAAATTAACATTTTATTGACGGAACAAGTATACTCGATATTAAAAACCATGGTCAAAGAAAATTCTACATTACTATGTCGATAATCACTTGCTTATGTCTTCATTATCCGTTTCATTTCGGCAATCCAAATATTGTCAGGTGTGATACTAGTGTTTAGGGATGTGACTGTAGATGCCTGCAGAGCATAATACGGAGGCGACATGAGCTAGCACAGCTACCTACTAATTGTGCACCTGATTTGCACTGGCAATACCAGAATTTCCTTCAAAATTCCATACAAAAAACACAATTTAGTGAAAGAAGACAAGGTACACTTTCAGACCCTAAAAAATTTTCGCAAAATTCTTCAATATTTTGAAGCCGGTACACCTGGCGAGATTTGTAGTATTATGCAAGTATTGTATTTGTATTATTATACTTTCCTGTGTACACATTTATACATGTCTTATTAGATTGTTAATATACTTAAGGTATTTCTACGTGTTTCCCTTGCAATATCTCTCTCTCTCTTTCTCTCTCTCAATAATGGAAAACGAGGTTCCGTCAGCAGTATCTGTTAAAGTAGTATGCACTGCATTAAAACTGAAAAGACCATCATATTGGAAACAACTGTGGAACACACGTACATGTACTTGGTGCACATAATGCATCACTAGATGGGGTGCAAGGAGAAAACCCCAGAAGTTATAAAAACTTCTTTAGAATAGATAATGCAGCATTTGAGCAACTTTTACAATCACATGTAGTTACTCCTTTTGATCTCCTTCCCATAAAACATTATGTTTACTTCTAAAGTTGACCATTATGTACCATGTGCCTTTTTTTTTTGTTATGCTAAAAATAGGATGACCCCAATGTGAGTACTTTTGATTGGTTTAAAAATGAAAGGTAAGTTAAGACTTGTATAAGAAATAGAGCATTGCCCTATTCTTAATACAGTTTTATAAGATTCAAAAAATCTTATGATTCACTGTATTAAAAGTCTATACATAGTAAGATTTTGTACTTAAATACATATCCATGTGTACAGCCCTCGATTGACAGACACAATGAGTGGAATGTCACGTGAGTAAAGTTATTATAATATCAAACGGTTGACACTCAGTGACCTGCTAATTTAGTAGCTAACTCGACCGAAGTTTGGAGAATTTTTCAAAAAATTACATATGAGCCGCAAATTGTCGAACATTGCCCTTTGGATATGTATAAGTTTAGATCAAAATACACATTCTGTGCAAATGAGATGAATAGACAAGTTGCGGCTCGATGTAAACAATGTCATTGAAAACTGGTTTGGATATGAATGACAAGAAGTCTGCGAGCCAATGCTCATTAATAATACCCCCGCTCTGATGTGAATACACAAGTTCAGTTATGGACAAACACAGTGATAATCAGGAAATTGACATTGGATTAGTAAAAAATGAATCCCAACATATGGCATGCCTAAACAAACATTGTGTTAAGATTTCAAGCACCTGCAATGCGTAGTTGCTGAGAATTTGTTATGTATTGTACAGACAGATGCAGGGATAAACAGGAAGTTGACATTGGATTTGTACCAAAATGAATCCCATTATATGGCATGCCTAAACAAGATTGTGCTAAAATTTCAAGCATCTGTGATGAGTAGTTGCTGAGAAAACTACGACCAAAATTTGTTATTTATGGTACGGACAGATGCACGGATAAACAGGAAGTTTACATCACATTCGTACAAAAATGAATTCCACCATATGGCATGCCTAAACAAAGATTGTGTTAAAATTTCAAGCATCTGCAATGAGTAGTTGCTGAGAAAACTGCGACCAAAGTTTGTTATGTATGGTACAGACAGACACACGGATAAACAGGAAGTTGACATCAGATTAGTACAAAGATGAATCCCACCATATGGCATGCCTAAACAAAGACTGTGTTAAAATTTCAAGCATCTGCGATGAGTAGTTGCTGAGAAAACTACGACCAAAATTTGTTATGTATGGTACGGACAGACGCACGGATAAACAGGAAGTTGACATCGAATTCGTACAAAAATAAATCCCACCATATGCCATGCCTAAACAAAGATTGTGCTAAAATTTCAAGCTTCTGCATTGAGTAGTTGCTGAGAAAACTGTGACCAAAATTTGTTACGGACAGACAGACGGACAGACAGACAGACAGACACACAAGGGTAAAACAGTATACCCCCCCTCTCCTTCGGAGAGGGAGTATAACAATAGAAATGTGACAAAACTGCTAGACCCCCGTTGCAAAAACCAGTGTCGATCGGCATTATTTAATATTCCCATGTGATGTAATATATCAAATCCTGCTCTTAAGATATTGTTTAATAATTCTGATTCAAAAAGTTTATAAATTTCGGAAATTTATTTTTGGCAAAGCACCGGGACCCAACTCTCATAGCTTAAGTGCACTGATCCTTTGAGCCCAACTGGGCAAAAAACAAAAAGAGAAAATATACTCCAGACAAGGATTTTACATAGAAAGGTATTTTCACCTTGCCTTTTTGATCCAGAAAATTGGTTCATGGTCACTGTGAAATATGCTTTGGACAAATAAAATCGGACATTACCATCTTTTAGAATTACAGTTCTTAATGTTTATCATTTATTAGTGCTGAAATATTAAATACTTGTAGAAACTAATATTACCATCATAGCCTTAAGTTCTGCTGCTGCATTTTTGTTTGCCGAGTTCCTCATGCTTTCCATTCGACCTCTAGCCACTTCCTGTCTAGGATTACTGACAGCAGAGGGGGCACTGTGGGAGTGACCAAGGGGCTGAGGGGCAAACTGTCCTCCTGGAGTCCATCGAGGACCCTGTGAAAACTGAAATCAGCATACTGAATCAGCAACTCTACAGAAACATACTTGTGGCATTCATGTTTTTTTTTCAAAGGAATGTTGATATTAACTTTCAAATACTTAATTTTTTAATATCACCTGTATATTCTTTTTCATAAAAAAAAATTCATATTGACTAACATTTTAATGAAAAGAATTTAATCTTACTCTTTTTTCTCTTTCTTTTTTCTGTTTGTCCCTTCTCCTAAACTCCAACTGAAAAAAATAAAGAATGATTACATTAAGACATCTACAAATTCTTAAATATTCTTGTACCTCTAAAAGAATTTTTGAAGTCAGATGAAATCTTAATGCATTTACGTCTGTTTCCCTTCTGCGCTTAAAAATTTCATCTTCTACTGTTCCAAGATCTGTAAAACAAACAATTGATTCATGTTTATCTACACTGATTCAACCCCTTGAATTTTACTTGAAGCATATCAACATATCATAATGTTCAAGCCATACATCTATATACAACAATGTTCTAACAAAGCTATAAATATTTTAACAGACAAGGCTTTTAAACTTACCTGACATGACCACTTGGACTCGTTCTAGATTCACCACCCCACTGTTTGTTAGATATCCCTGAATAGTAAAATAAGGAAAAGAAACACAGAGTATAAAATTGACCAGTGTTAATTGGGTTTGAAAATGCAATTACAAATTTGCTGAGTTTGAAGCTTACCCCTGTTCTTCTGACACAACTTTTATATAATTTGACCAGTCTGTCTATGGCTCCTTCCCTGAAAATTTGAAAAAGATATCCTTTCATTTGTTTACTTACTCAGAAATGAAATTCACCAACCTTTAAATAGATAAGTTTATCTATATTTATAAAAATCTTTCAGACTTGTGGATGCTTACCTAATTTCCAGGGAGGGTAAGTGAGGCAAGAAATCGTTACCAACAAAGAAACACATGAAGACCCAGTCATCTATCGCTCTCTGTAGAAAACACAAGGACAAAAATGGATTGCTAATACATCACAAAGTCGGATTTTTATTTTCTTCGACATTTTAGGGGGTAACTTAGGAAATACTTCATTATGTCAAAAACTACATGTATTTTATAAATGTGAAGAAATATTTTTTTTAATCCATGACAAATATTACAGGCAACCTTTCATATTTTATTAAATCATATTGAAGGACATTTGATATGTATGCCATATCTTTTTTTTTTTTAAATTAGGTTGGTTTAAAATCTCACAAAGAAAATGAGTTTTAGGTTTAAATAATGACATACTGCAACAAAAATGTCTGAAAAATGAAACACTTCTTATTTTCCCATTTTTTCAAATAAAAATACATTGTATTACAGTAATAGCAAACTCAATGCAAGAAAATGAAAGTTAATAGATTACCTCAAAGTCATATTTGAAAGGTAGGTTGTCCATTAAAAGCTCTCTTTCTAAATATTCTCGCAAAATATTTAACCTGATAAATATAAACTCCTGTTCTGCTCCCATTAGTTTGGGCAACTCATCATTCTGAAAAAAGAAAAGATCCAAAAACTTACAAGATTTCCCGATTTTGCTTTGTTTTAAGGGTATTGTTCATTACACCATTTATTGACAATAATTACATATATTACCTTACTTCAAGTTCTCAATTATTTATAAGAACTAATCATATGTGACAGGAAAAGTCTTGATAAGGTGCATCTCTGATCTTTAATTGAATAAACATTTATTTTAAACAAAAAGCATACATCTACCCTAAATCTACATACCTCCCCACACATCTCTTTAGGTAAACCAAGACACTCTTTCATCTCATGACCTTAAAATAGTACAAGGGAAGGAAGATATGTCAATTCATTTCTACTGAGTAAACAGAGCTGAAACATATAATGACTTTCCTTGAGAAGCGCATCATAGACTTGTAATGTCTCACCTAGTTGTCCACACAGGTCACATGGTTTGGGTTGATTTGGCTTGAATTCTTCTCTGATGATGGTAAAATGAGGTTCATGTGTAGCCAGTCCTGCAGCAATTAAAAGTTAACAGATAGTACACAATTAAAGTACAGCATTTGTTATTTTTATAAAATCATAAGTTGAATTATTTCTTACGAATTGAAATACTTACCCAACATGATCAAATCCGCTGAAACAGAATAACCAGAATACTTATTGAAACTATAAAATAACTGTATCCAAAAGACATAAAAGCATGTGATAGAAACTGTCATCTAAATCTTTCAGTCTATATTAAAGTTGAGTTGTGATTTCCAGGCATAAAACTACCTATAAATACAATATAAAGAAGGGTTAATAACTCACCATCAGCTCCACAGAGACAATGTTTTGTGTTGGGGTCATGGTCTGGTTGAGCTGTAATAAATATACTGAGGTTTTACCTGTTGTACTAGAGATTAAAATTCAGTAAACAAGTTATACTTTAATTTATTATAAAGCACAGAGTTTGGTTGAGACATATTAATAATTACACTGAAAATAAAAGTTTAGCATTTGCAATGTCTGACCTCTTTGTTTTCTAATGTAATCCATGATTTTGTGCTCCCCCTCTCCTGGAACATTGGCATCTGATAGAATGACCTTGATATTTTGCCAGCCAGGGTCATTATTCAATCTTTCATGTATATAATACCGCAGACAGTCTGCCAGTCTGAACATGAAAGGAGTACCCTAAAAGAAAGAACAGGATTTGTACAAAAAATAAGAAAATCAGTCAGACTAATAGATGACCCCCCAAACTCTTTCTTAGCTTTGATTCAGAAACATTTTTTTTCAATACAGTAAAGGGAATGATCTAGCTCGTGTCTCAAAATTATTCAGTCTAGAAAATAGGATGTAAAGGAGTCAAATAAGCAAAGACTGACATTAACATATAAAATAAAAGGAGATTTTACGCCAAATAGGTAACTCTCCAGGTATGCAATTGAAATGATAGGAAATTTTTTCTTGGTGACAAAAAATACATCCAGTTAAATGCATACGTTAATGGTACATGTATATGGATCATACATTTTTATTTTACAATATTAAATAAAACGACAATATCTGAGATACAAGCTTTAACTTTATCATAACAAGCTTCCAATCATAAGCAAGTCAGAATATGAAGCAATAAATGGATACATGTACATGTAGTTTAACAAAACATGGACCTAAAAACATTTCAACTCATTACTCCACAATGTTGACTTTGTGAACTGGCAGTCAGCAATCTCCCTTCATATGGAAGACTTGTATGAACTGTATGATCCATGTCAATGCATACGTTAAGTCAGTCTAATCTTGGATGAATGATCCAAGACTAAAATTGATAATGGCAATTTTTTTTCAGTTCTTGAAGAGCATGCTAAAATTATTCATTAAAAAGCAATATTATCATAATAAAACATACATGACATTATAAACAAGTCAAATTGGTTTTTCAAACAATTTGAACTTGAGATTGTTAGAAGAATGATCCAGGCTCAGGGTTCATAAAACTTAGACAAGCTCACTTTTGATCTCAGTCTCACTTTTACTAAAGAAATTGATAGTAGAAAAGTGAGACTGAGATCAAAGTGAGCTCATCGAAGTTTTACGGTCCCAGAGCCTGGAGGATAATAAATGTATAATTTACTATAGAAACAAGTGTTAACAGCTTACTGGAGTGATACAGTTACTGTCAAAGTGCTCTCCCTTCTCTTTCTCTGGTGGGAGATTGTAACCTTTACTGGTAAGTTCATCTCTCAGCCTCGCCATGTCATCAATCTTCTCTCTAGTGAAAATAAACACATACTAAAATAATAAAGTCCTTACCCTTTAATTCAACTTACTTCCAAATAAAATCAGCTCACAGACTTACATGTATTTTTAGATTTACCGCTGTATGAATATTAGCGTTTTGGGCCAAAATAAAAAATACCTTTGTTTCCCCTAACGCGACCGACCCACTCAAATCATGCCGACTAAAAAGTTTTTTTTAATAAGATTATTCAAATATTTTTCTTTTATTGTTTATCAACTTTATAAAATACAATTTCATCAAAATCCGTTTTTTTTTTTTTTATCAGAACGGCGGCTTTTGTATACTCTCATTCATGTGGCCACAGAGGGTTAGTTCGTGTTATAAAACAACAGCGATGTACATGTATCAATCTTAATATATATCTTTAACTTATTTGAATCCTACTCTCTTGAAACATTTCGTGAATTAAATATACCATGACTAAGGAGTGTTAAGATGGTATTTACAAATGTGTCTTTTAAAATTAACGTACGTAGTAAGCATGGCAAAGCCTGCCTCATGAGCAGATGAGGGGTCCACCTTGTGTATGCATATCAATAAGTTTCACTGCATTTCATTCATTTCGATCTAATAAATACTATTAGGCCTTTCAACTGCCGCTAGGGTTCGATGAAAAGAACGATAACCCGTTACCGGAACTTGTTTACAGCGGGTCCGAGGAAGCTAACTGTTTTTAAGCATGTCAAGTTTTAGCATTTCCAAAGTGTTCCTTCACTGTCAGCGGAATTCAGTGGTTTTAAAATTTAGCTCAAATGTTAAACTTATTTATCATGTAGTTACCGACACTGGACAATAATATATAAGTGAAATTTTTAATAAAAATAGAAAGTGAAATCCATCCCCCTTCTTAATTTTGACCTGATTAAATTTTTATACTTGATGGTTCTTCTTCGTGCTTAGTGGAAAGAATAAGATAATTTATTGTTGCATTTAATTGTAGAAATATATATCTTTATAGATGAAGCACAACAATGCACACACAAAAAAACATGGCATTATATTTTCTTCTTCATAACAACTGTTGGAGAGAGTTAAAAATCTTGAATATAGTCCATTCCCAATTCATTGATCCCGTTATTCCAGGTATAGAGTGAAGACATTCTCCTTGTTTTGGTCAACCCTTTTGTGTACCAAAGAATATAAAGAACCCTTTTGTGAACATAACAATACCAATAGAAGCAGCCTATATGTCATTCCTATAAACGATAACTCAAAAATCGGCACTTTGTTGGTCGTTTTGTACACTTGAGTTACCTGTCCTTAAAACACAACATCTTACAAATCAAATGTTAATAATTAATTTTTTATGATTTAATTAAAGGTATGTATAGTTTATAATCTTCTTTTGAGAATTTCATGTACCTACAAATCTATCTATCAACTGTTTTTTACCATAAGTGCAACTTGAAAAATTAGTTGAAAGGCCTTTAAATACTTCGTGTGTGATTCTATTTTTACTATATAGGCCCATAGGATTTGTAAATATGTCTTTGTATAATTATTTCATCTTGATAAATATAATTCAGATGTCGATTCTTCCTTTTGATTATGGGGTAAACTTCGTAACTATAACATTAGAAATGGTTTGGTTGAATTAAATATTGTTTATAAAGGTACACACTTTTCAAATAGTGTTAAAATCTTTAAAATTGGGTTATGGTACTGCTTCCTGAGACGTCCAGTGTATTTTTCTTTAGTTAGGCCTTTGAAAATGGGTTCACTTATTTCTTTGTTTTAAAATATCTTTTTAAATTGTTTGGGTCGACAACATTTGAACACCTGTCTGGTGGAGGGCTCCTAATTTAGAATTTTTCTTGGCACTTATGGCCATTGATCATAAAGCATCATTAAGGGATCTTTTTCATGCCATCATCTACATGTATACTGCAACACTGCATGGACCTACGTTTTTTATGGTCTCATTTGACTGACCAGTCTCCACGTCCCATGTCGGGACCTGTGACTTACAATAAGCTCCTGAATTACGTCAATACTCCAAACGAAACACTAGAATTACTGCGTCACGCGAGGCCCTTGACATTTTGTCTGTGTAAGCACTCGAAGATGATAGTAGGTTTGAAAAATTATACTAGGATGGCCGATGGTTGAGTATTTGCGAATCTTGTCTTTTTGTAAAAATTCGATTTCAATTAATTTACACTGGCCTGAGATATTTCACAAGTTCAAATGAATAATATTTGTGAATTAATTTACCATACATGTTGCATTTAAATTTCATTTGTATGATATTCTGTTTAAAAATCGGTTTCTTTTGTTCTCTCTTATTTATAAAGACATTATTCAATTTTTCAGAAAGTACTTTCAAAACTGTTGTCAGAAAAATAAAATAATTTACCTACCTACCTACCCAACTTGAAATTTTAGGGTCGGGTTAGGGGAAACAAAGATATTTTTAATAATGGCCTTGCTTTGTTTGTTTGTTTTTTTTTAATATATATATTTTGTACTTTGATTCTTTAGAAGCCCGGAATCGTCTGGATCTCTGTTGATTCATTTTGGCTCTAGGTGCCTAAAGAAAAAAAAATTATCTTTATTATCTTTCATGCTCATTTCCTATAATAAAATTTTTAAAAAGCAATAAAATTCATTAATGTTTGCTAAAAAAAGGTGTGTCAGCAGTGTTTGAAATAACCGTGCGCCCGACTGCCCGAGACGCACAAATTTTGCCACGGACAAACAGATTTGCACGTATCGACGCCCGGCTGGACGTGTTAAAATTTACCATAAATTAAAATTCATATATTTGATAAATATCTCTCAAATCAACTGATAGTATCGATAGCTAAGTGTAACAAGTAAAGGGTAGAATTCAACAGCCTATAGATTTAGGATGTAAGTTATTGTGATCGTGCCCCATTCACATTATCGCTATAACATATTTATAAAAGACTTTTATTTTCTCGAGCTAGTTGAGTTTTGGCTGGGCTGACAACTTTCACTAGCAGTCAGCCCTGCATGTCTAGCTAATTCTATCGTGAGTTTCAAACACTGGTGTCAGTATCATACAACAAATTCACTCTCAGTCAAGTTTAAATGGAGCACTGTATACTGTTTATTGTATATACATGTATTTCCATCTGAAATTTCAATTGTAGCTTTAAGTTTACCAGCTTTTGTAATACATTATTGTAATCTGAACCATTTTTGTTAGTTACATGTAGCACCAACAAACTTAACAATGTTTTGTTATCCATGAATCTCTGCTCAAAGTATGGCTGACAACAAATACTAGTCACTAGCATGATGCAACTAGAAACACAAAAATAGCATTCTCATTTATCTTTAGAAAACAAACTTAACTGTAACTTTGTAATTCATATTGTGTATACTACTTGAGATCATCTGCTGTACATACCACACCATCAATGGCCATGTAGAGTAACTTTCTTGGTCGAACAATGGAGAATATTCTGTCTATGTACTCAAAGATTAAAATCATCATCTCATCTTCATTCTTAGGAGCAGGTCTAAATAATATACAAGTCATCAAATGTAAATAAATGATGAATACTTAATTAATGTGATGTTAATTTTCAGATATCAACTGTACAATGAACAACTTATGAGTTCAATACTATTTGGAGCAGACTGGAAACACATTATTAATTACAATGTAATTTTAAGTCACCAAGGGTTCAATGTGTGATACCTCATAACAAAATTTACAAGTCAAAATAGGATTATTTTGTTTTATCTTAAGTATATATATCTTAAAAAACAAAGAATTACAACAAATATGAATTATTAAATCATAACAACAGAGTGCCTATTGAATCAAAATTAGAGGTACATGTATAATATTACAAATTTATGCAAAAATTCATAAACTATTTGATGAAATTTGATTTACTTACAGCTACTCTACAAAACTTGAAAAAAATAACAAGCAATCGAAGACAAATTAATAGTTGGATTCAGTGACATAACAATAGACACATTTTAATGCAAGATCTTGAAACAGTTGATTTAAATGGTTAAAAGGAGCGCGAGAAAATGGTGTAAGCAAAAAACCATACACTTATTACCGGTAATCTGTCAACAATTAAATATGACTTGTGAGTGCTATATGAGGTAGAAATATTTGATAACTCTTCTAATATTGCACCCAAACATCTCACAAGATTTGAACACGTCTATCTAACTTTTACGAAAAAGAGCACATTCAAGGAAAATTACTCTACATAGTTACGATAAAACATATTCATAACTTTTATAAAAATTCTTCCTAACACTCACTTGTCCTCAGGGTGACAACAAGGGTGGATAATCCCATTCATGTCCAGATAGAGGTTATCAAACTCATAGTCATTAGGATTGGGCTGACTAGTGTCTACAGGGATCTTCACACCATTCACTTCCCTCGGCTGGTAAAAACAAACACACAATAATCAGAATAGTACATTTAACTTGATTATATTATATCTATGGCCTAAAATCATACTGATACTGGTAATGAATGATCTTATTCTAAATTAAAATACAAAGGTTTCTCAAGATGTTTCAAAACATTTCTTTGATAGAACTAGAATTTGAATCATAAAAAATGATGGGAAACTACACATATTGTTAAAATGATATTGTTCTACAGACCCGGATTAATGATAGAATTTGTTCTGTGTGTTGGCGAGATAGCAAAATAAACAGGGGCAGGTAATTGAAATCTATGTATATCCGTCAACAATACAGAGAGCATTGCATGTAAATTTGAGAAAAAAAACTTTGAGAAAATGTGATGATTTTTTCTTTATATGGATTATTAATTTGGTAAGAAGCCATATACAAGTTCAAAAATGTTTATTAAGAATAATTTGGTTGTTATTTTCAGTGCAACTCCAATGTGTTCTCCAAAATCATGCCGAAGTGGATCTGCTCCATTGCAACTATTTGGGGACATATTCCAACTATGGTGTCATGGCTTGTCCCGAGACACAGTTAAATTATTCTATGTTATTTGGTCAAATATAATTTGCAGTTATATAAAGTATGCAATCTGATTAAAATCAGATCCTCAATGCTCCTTTTTCAATATGTCGCTTCCTCGTAAAAATGATTTTTGCTAGAAATAGATAAAAAGTTCTAAGTATTTAACTACATGTATTCATTATGATATATGTACTATGGACTATCAAAAAAATCAACCAAAATCAAAGATAGCTCTAACATTGCAGCTTTTGAACACTTTTGTCATTTGTGCAAAAGATGTAATTCCATTGTTTGGATAACTTTACATCACCTTGTGTGTGTTGAATTGTGGAAAAGTATTCAATATAATAATAAGGCAAATGGACATTGGGTAAATGAGATTAGAGCAAATGGACTCTGGGAGAAAGAGAATAAGGGTGAACAAACATACATTCAATACCATCACTGCACCAGGGATAAACATTAACTTTCAGATTCATGTGTCCTTCAGGCAAGTAATCTCAAATTTAGACTTGTCTGAATGCAAAACTTGGTTGCCCAAAATTAAAGAAAGAAGAAAATAACAAAATAACATATTAATTTATTACTGTAAATGTTTAAATGATAAGAAAAAGTGTGACCAGATACACTACTGTCTATTTTGCAAGTGAGCTACAAGAAAAAAAATTGATGTTACGTTTGTACATGAATGTTTACCACTGTAAACTGTCTTTGTCAATTTAACCTGTAAACACCCACTGCCATGCAGCAAAAAAATTTCGATGCTAAGTTTGTACATAAATGTTTACCACTGTCCTTGTCAATTTAACCTATAAACACCCACTGCCATGCAGCAATATCCCCCTCCCCGTTTCCTTTATAAGAAAAAATTATTTTCGGTATGATCCTTTTGTGATTTTTGATTTTCTAGATAACTTAATTTTGAAGCAAGCTGAAGAAAGCCAGTTGCTAAAAAACATACATACATTGTATATTGATCAGGATATGTTGTGTTACTTATCAATATATTCTGTAAGTGAATAAATAGCCCAATTTCCTAATATGTAGGTAACAAAATTGTTAGACGTAGAGCCTATTTACACAAAAGAAAACAGAATAAAGAACCTGATTTTTACAATTACATGAACAGTATAATCTAGAAAGGGATTCCAATGCACAAATAATGCCAGTCACGTACCCTGCAGAAATCAAGTGCTTAATTTATATAAACTACATAACAATATACATTTCTCGGAAAAATTCACTTGCCTGATCAGAGAAGTAGCTAAATCAAGCTACTCTGAATAGCGTAATAAAGCTATATAGCTAATTCAAGCTATATACAGGGTTCTCACTAGGACTTTGCTAACTTGAGTCCCAGGACTCAAGATTTCTGAGAAGGTTGAGTCCCAGCTAAATTTGATGCATCCCAGAAAAATTAATTGAGTCCCAACTGAATTATTGCAGTATCCTTCCATCCAAACATCAATAAAAATCTGTATTTTTTTAAACAATTTATTTTTATTCAAATATATAACCTAATAATGTATCCAAGCCATATTCTAAAATACACCCGTAATTAATTGCCATAAAAATTAACTTGGGTGTTTATAAAGCTAAAATAAACTGTTGCATAATCAGTTAAGTACCCTAATGTTGACTGTATACAATCACAGGTGTCATGTGCAATGAGGCGTAACTAATCCTGTCAGTCATCTGTACTGGGTGAAATTCACGAGATAATCAAGCTATATTGTGTATACAAGCAGTAATTATGGTTTCCAGATAAAACTCAAAATTTAAAAGTGTTTAAAAAAAGTGCAGTGTGTTTACAGCTATCGGAGTTTGGCATGTGATACTATCATTACTTAATGGACTAATAAACATTAAGTATCTTATAATCAGTCATATCCCTATTTAAAAAAAAATAGAAATAGATACAAGAAAAGTTGTTCCTTGGATAAACTTCATATTTACAGGAAGGTTTGGATTAAATATTTCTTTGACAAATTCTAAAATTTAAAATCTTCAGTTTTCGAAATCACCCAAATTTTCTCGGTAACGTGGACGCGTCCACTCGTGAGTCAGTGAACATATCGTTTTGAAGAATCTTGCATCCCAAATAATTTTGCAGCGTCTCGGACACAGATTGTTGCGTTAATGAGAACCCTGCAGATAGCTAATAAAGCTGTATAGCTAATTCAATCTATATAGCTAATTCAAGCTATACAACTATATCAAGATCTTTCCAATGCAGCATCTGGTTATTCTTTTTAATGAGTGTCAGCTGTGTGCTGTATCTTGGAAATATCCTCATTTGTTTTTTATTTTACTATCATAATGAAAATTTTACAAGTTTTTGTGTAGCACTGCATATTTTGTAAAGATAAAAAAATCAAATGAATGAGAAATTTCACTGGCACAATACTATGGTATAAGCTGAATATAAGCTGTCCCAATCTTTCTCTTGAAAATCAATACGGATTCTAAAACGTACCTTTTCTTCAATGCAATGTACGAGAATGGACGGGTTTTTGCGACTCAGCCAGCGGAAAAATGCTGGTACACCCATGATCTGCGTCTCAGTCTCGGGATGTATACAATACAGCAATGTTTAAAATTCACAGCCCGAATTTGTCTTGTCACTTCCTTTGTCATATATGAAATGCAATCTGATTGGTCAGCTCAGTTTGCAGTTCATAAAATTGAAACCAAAATTGAGACAAAACTTTTTTCCCGTTTCACTACAAATGTAAATGGTGAAATAATTCACAGCAAATGAATATGTAAAAATAAATAAATTCAATTTTGTGAATCATATAACAAGAATTAAAATAAATCATTGACATACTTGAACTAAATTCCAAATAATAAGTCGGTAATAATTTCTATTCGGGATTTCATTTTCCTTCTTCTTTGAAAATTATAATCCTAAGGAATAAACTTGTCCAATGAGATATGTTGTAATAAAAGGCTGTGTTAAAGAAAACAACATGGCTGACAAGATTTTTGAAGAACTGTGCAGCTCTCATAAAATAGAACGAGATAGAGGTTTTCAGAATTTTGTCAAGCATATTGATACAGCGGAGAGCGAGGATATCAACGATCTTGAACAGGATGTATCAAAACTCTTGACAGAAGAGGATTCCTCTTGGGAGAAAAAACATGGGGGGTTAATGGCAGCTAAAGCTCTGTTGACAAGTGGAAAGAGTTCAGATGACTTTGTTGTTGATATGCGTTCACTAGCTCTGAAATACTTGGAGGATAAAGAATTTAGAGTTCGCACTGCAGCAGGTGTCTGATAGAAATATCTCAAATAATATAGTGTTTAAATCTACTTTAATATGTTTTACAGTGTGACCGTTGGGGCAAGCGCAGTTGTACCATCAAAAACCTATACACAGCTTACACTTGTAACGTTGATGGATCTGCCTCTTCAAACTGTGATGTCACATGACATCGGAATTTATGGAGACAGCTGAACGTCTGGTTGAACGAGACTACAGGGTCTTGTGCAATCATAAATGAAATACGTTGTCTAGTAGATGCAATTATTTTTTGTTTCTTTTAAGCTCTATGCAAAGAAATAAAAGTAAACATATCTCTTGGTAAGGAACAATTATTCTTGGTCTTTTGTATGTTTTGTAATAATTTCGCATGGAACCCTGGTAGCGAAGGAATTCTGGGAATGTTGCACCAGAAAATTTGCTTGACGTATGTACAGATTTCATTCCGAATTTCCTCTGTTCTTACACGTTAGTCTGTTGAGCTCGCTTCACGCTGCTCGCTGCGCTAGCTATCATGTAAGACTGAGCATTCTTATATGTTTTACTGTGTGACTGTTGGAGTGAATGCATTTATACCATCAAAACCTTTAAATTGCTTACATTTCCAACTTATCTGCCTCTTCAAAATTCAAATTGAACAAAGACAGTTAAGACTGTGACATTTCTGCAATAGTAGTCTAAATAGGCCAAGTGCAATTTTTAAGGAAAGGCATGGGTGATATTTATGATAATTTTTACTCAATTCTTAATTTTATTTTTCCCTTAAAAAGGTTAGATAGACAATTTATTTTCAATATAATCATCAATTTTTATTTTCACATTTCAATCTAAAAAAATTGAATAAAAAAATGCATCTTTAATTTTTACAAAATATGAATTAAATTACAAGTAACTCATCTGAGGTGTGCTATGCCATGTCCACACAAGTTTGATTCAAGATGCATTAAAAATTTTCTGGGGAAAACACTGTACTCGGTACTTACATGTTAGTTTTTTGAGCTCGCTTTGCGCCGCTCGATGCCTTCACTATAAAACATGACCATACCATTTCTAATTTTCTTACAGATCTGATGTAACAAATTTAAGGTTGTAACATCATCTTAATATGTCTGAAGGTGAAACTGTTAGGGCAAGTGCAGTATCATTTGTGTATTAACGATTCTCAAATTATGGATCTGCTATTTCATGTGCACACTGCAAACGACAAAATAATTTTTAGGTGAACTCCACTAGACGGCCTTTGTTGCATCTGGTTATAATATGTTGACAGTGAGAATTATGGGTACTGAGTTTTCTACCCCAAAAAATTCTATTCATTTGGATCAATGCACAGACAGTCCAAATTTTCTCTTTGCCTAGGAGTTGTTTAAGAGCTCACAGTGATGAGCCGAACTTTACCCCTCTTGCTGCACTAGCTACAACTTTTTCCTCTACAACTTTTATGACAGATAAAAACATTTTATAGTACATGTAAAAAAAAAAATTTCAAACACGACATCACGTACCTTAGGACTGAAATCTGAACTTCTAAGACAATTCTGAAAATGGGAAAGAGTCAAGACGTTTTTGTGCTAAAAATGATGTCATATATAAAGTCATGTTTATCAAGGATGCATACATTTGTTTTTGGCAGAGGGTTATGATTTTGTTTAATGGTGTTGTCATGGTTACCAAAAATAGAAATTTCTGTGAAATACTTTCAAAACTCTACTCCTCATACAGATTTTGTCTGATTTCAATGTATATGGAACACGTAGATTACACAAAGATACATAATTCTGAATGTTGTTTTTTCATTTTGATTAATGATGTCACCATGGTTACTAAAAATAGAAATTTCTGTGAAATTCTTTTAAAATGCTATTCCTCCTACAGTTTTGGTCTTATTTCAATACATGTAATACTTCGCACACAAGTAGACTACACCATGATACATAATTCCTTTCATCAGTTTATGATTTCAAGATTAAACCAAGGATCATTATTCTAATTTATTGCTTTTGCATAGTTTCAAGTTCCAAGTGCTACTTATCTTTTCCTTTGGTGAAAGTACAAACCAGTAGAGCTACAGTCTCGTCAGAGACTTCTTGTTTTCTTTTAAAATGCACACCAACCATGCAGATCTGGCTATGAATTGGAACTTGACCAAAAGTGACAACAGAACCTATTGTTTCTAATTCTGATGATTAAAATCATTACTTCTTTTCTAACTGCTTCACTGTTGAACTAATTCTAAGTACAGTAAAACCTGTTATCTCGAACTCAAGGGGACCAAGAAAAAACTTCCAGATATCCAAGGATGTGAGATATCAGGGGCAAAGTACTTAAAGAATAATGGGTTGGGACTTCCAAATCACTTCAACATATCCATGGCATTAGAGATATCAGTGTTCGAGATTCTGAAGTTCAATTGTAGATGCATTAGTGGTGAATCAGTTTGTTTGAAAAATTTTCAATGTGATGTGGATTACATTGTTAACTCTATAATTATTTCAGGTGAAGTGTTGGGTGCACTATGCAAAAAAGTAGGACCAGCAGTGTATGAAAATTCTAGGTCTGCAATTTTGGAAGGAATTCGCAGTAATCTGGAGCGAGAAAAATTATCTGAATCCAGTCAGCAGGAACAAGAGGAGACAGAAAGACTCATGGAGAAACTCAGTAGTTCCCCAGCAAGGGTAAGTTGACTGGATCCATGCCAAACAACTAATTTATTTTTGGTATTAGGAAATGAAAGCAAATACACATGAGAATTTTAATTGCAAGTACATAGTAATTTGATTAAGTATGCAAGAACCCCATTCTTCAGAAACTGTCGAAATACTTGAATATTGATAGGATAAATGTGAATTATGACTGTAATTTAACTAATTTCAGAAAAGTTCAGTAGATGCAGAACAGATATTTCATGACACTGCTGGATGGAAGTCGCTAGAGACTTGGATGAAGTGAGTCCCAGTATTAAAGTAAATGATTATGTATATCAATCTAATATCAAGTGCTCAATAAGGGATCATGTTTATTATGTTTAGTGTATCTGAAGAATGTTTGCCAAGACATTTCCCAGATTTCGGACAATTTTAATATGCTCTTTATTGGCAGATGCTTGCAGTGTGTGGTAGACAATTGTGGGCACTTGTTTAATAACTGTGTCGACCAAGAGTTACTGGACCTGATTTTCCAAGCACTTGAGCACACAAATCGTTTTGTCCGAGAGACAGGATATTATGTTTGTGCATCACTTGTATCAATAGGGGTGAAGGGTAAAGGTAAGACAAAGACAAAGGTTAGGTCAAGGTCATAACCAAAGGAGTAAATTTATCTATATCAATGGTGCAAATTAGTTTAAATTCACACAGAAAATGTTACTTTTTTATGTAAGGTATGGTACATGTCCATTTAGATAAGCTATGAGTGTTACAAAAGACTTGTTTCATGTAATGATAACCTTTCAAAAAAATGTATGTCTTCAGACAAATTCTCAAATGATTCTCAGAGTGTATTAGGATGTTATAGTTTTTATTTTTGCTGATACAGAGACCCTGACTTTGGAGGAAGAGAATGCAGTGTATCGCCATGGAGAACAATTTGCCAAATATATGGCTAAAGGACTGGCAGATAACTGGAGCCAGGTAACACAAGGAACTTCAGCATCTTAATGTGTCTAGAAAGGATTTCAAATTTAAACAAAAAATTCAATATTGTTGGAGAACAGTTTAGTGATTTTCAGGGGTCAAATATCATACAATTCTTATCATATAGCCTTTGTGGAAATCATTTTCCTTGATATGCTCATACAGGATACATAAGATTTATGGGGAAAAAAACATGATAACATCAATGATGTCGTGTTTTGTAATATCAGAAAATATGGTATAATCTTTTAAACATGGTATTGTTTGTTAAATTTTGATTAGTTTTGAAGCATTGGTGTTTTGTCCAGGTCCGACTTGCATCTAGTGTGGCAACAAGAAAATTCCTTCAGAGTTTACCAACTGAGGAGGCAAAGGCCAAGTTTTACCCTATACTGATCCCCAGGATGTGTTTAAACAGGTGAACAGTGTAAAAAGAAAACTAATTTAGACTCCACAAATTAAGTACATTAAATTAAACATGTACTACTTCACATTAATCAGCTATACTTGTATACAATAAAATGGTGATTGCTGACTATACTGAAGTCCTAATCAAAAATCTGTGCAGTGATTGAAGCAATGAACCTGTGATACATGTAATGTTCTGTAGTGTTGTACCGATAATCAGAAAACATCAATTGTCGACGAAAAAATGCCACCAATTCCAATGATCGATTATAATTTTTCGTAATCAATCATTGGAAACATACTTCTAATACAATACATTCCGGAATTATCCATTTCTGGTTTAAAATTTATTTCTTCTTAATGAAAGAAAATGGCGTCTGCATCTGATACTAACCAACTAGCACGAAGCAGAGGTGATTAAGAACCGAAAGGTGCATATATAGAAAGTGTAAAAGAAGCAAAACAACAAAGAAAATAATATATTATATATATTCATGTTACGGAAATAATATGAAATAATTAAATAGTCTGCTTTTAATATACAAAACTATGACATCTGATTATAACCGGTAAAATCGCATCGGAAGCAGTAACCGATTCCAACCGATGATCGATTATGAAAATTAACCGATGTCCCTTCACTAATGTTCTGTAGGTATTATGTAGCAGAAGGAGTGAGGATCTACTCTCAGGATACCTGGCGTATGGTGACTGGTGGGGAGGGAAAACATCTGGTGGAAAAGTACATAGATCATGTGGTGAGTTATGATACAGATGTGGTCAGTTACCTGATCTTGAATTTTATTGTATTCTAAAAGATCTTAAGGAAAGTCATTAGACTTGTATAAAATCAATGACAACTTTTCAGGTCTTTCTGATACAAAGAAGAGCAATTAAAAATGTTGAGAAACAATTGCAGCATCTTTGAGAGCCCCTCCTGTCCTGTTTGACAGAAACCATTCTAAAAATCAGATTTGATTCACCCATTCATTAATTATGTTTCTATTATTAAGATCTATCTTTATACATGTATTTCCAAAAAAAAAAAAAACCAAACAAAAAATCTAATGTCAAATATAGAATGTACATGTAAGTAAACTGTTAGCATATTAACATGTACATGTTATGCAAAATTGCACTGTAGACATAAATCTATTAAAATTTTGTATATCTGTTAATTTTTAATGATGGCATCTTCTGTAGCCTAGGGCCAAGAGGAGTTTTCTAACTTAAAAAAATATGCAGTAGAATTCTTTTAGTAAGAGACTGAATATGTAATACATGGCATTAATTAGGAGGTAGTTATTGTGAACTAATACCGGTATCCATGCACAAATAGCACTTTATTACTGCTCAGATGAATACTCTATAAAAAGAATGTTTTGTGCAAAACTGCTTTTGGCACATGACAATTATGTGCTAAATTATATAATGCAGTAATATACAAGTGTTTCTAGATTTAGATTTTTTTCTTGGTAAGGTTTAGTGTATATGCATTTAAAGAATTCCGTCTAGTATCTAATTATTCTGTGCTTTCCACTATTTCTGCATAAGCTTGACACTTGTCTGGGTGGAGAATTGACCCATTCTAACCTTTTTAGCTCACCTGAGCCAAAGGCTCAAGTGAGCTTTTCTGATCAAAATTTGTCCGTTGTCTGTCGTCGTCGTCGTTGGCGTCGTCGTTGTTGTAAACTTTTCACATTTTCATCTTTTTCTCAAGAACCACTGGGCCAATTTCAACCAAACTTGCCACAAAGTATCCTTGGGTGAAGGGGATTCAAGTTTGTTCAAATGAAGGGCCACGCCCTCTTTCAAGGGGAGATAATTGAGAATTAGTAAAAAAATAAATGCATCATTTAAAAATCTTCTTCTCAAGAACAATAGGGCCAGGAAAGATGAAACTCATGTGGGAGCATCTTCAGGTAGTGTACATTCAAGTTTGTTCAAATCATGACCCCCGGGGGTAGGGCGGGGCCACAATGGAGGATCAAAAATTTACATAGAAATATATAGGAAAAACCTTTAAAAATCTTCTTCTCAAGAACAGCAAAGGCATGATGAGTCATATTTATATGGAAGCATCCTCTGGTAGCGTAGATTCAAGTTTGTTCAAACCATGACCCGCGGGGGTAGGATGGGGCCACAATGGAGGATCAAAGTTTTACATAGAAATATATAGGAAAAATCTTTAAAAATATTCTTCTCAAGCACAGCAAAGCCATGATGAGTCATATTTATATGGAAGCATCCTCAGGTAGTGTAGATTCAAATTTGTTCAAACCATGACCCCCGGGGGTAGGGCGTGGCCACAATGGAGGATCAAAGTTTTACATAGAAATGTATAGGAAAAATTTTAAAAATCTTGTTCTCAGGAACAGCAAAGCCCTGATTGATCATAGAAATATATAGGAAAAATCTTATTCTCAGGAACAGCAAAGCCCAGATTGTTCATATTTAAATGGAAGCATCCTCAGGTAGGGTAGATTCAAATTTATTCAGATCATGACCCCCGGGGGTAGGATGGGGCCACAATGGAGGATCAAAGTTTTACATAGAAATGTATAGGAAAAATTTTAAAAATCTTCTTCTCAGGAACAGCAAAGCCCTGATTGATCATATTTATGTGGAAGCATCCTCCGGTAGTGTAGATTCTATTTTGTTCAAATCATGACCCCCGTGGGTAGGATGGGGCCACAAAGTCTTAAATAGAAATATATAGGAAAATATCTTCTTCTGAAGAACTGCAAACCATGATTAGTCATTTTGATATGGAAGCATCCTCAGGTAGTGTAGATAAAATTTTGTTCAAATGATGACCCCCAGGGGTTGGGTGGGGCCCATTGGGGGATCGAAAGTTTTACATAAGAACATATAGAAAAAATATTTCTTCTCAAGAACAGGAAAGCTATGTTTAGTCATATTGATATGGAAGCATCCTCAGGTAGTGTAGATTCAAGTTCAAATGATGACCCCTGGGATAGGGAGGAACCACAATGGGGGATCAAATTTTTACAAAGGAATGTATGGGAAATTTTTTTTAAAATCTTTTCAAGTAACCCCCCCCCCCCCCCCCCCCCCCCCGGGTAATCTTTTCAATACTGAACTTATTTGTGCTTTTGCCTAGCCAATGTGCTCAGGTGAGCGATGTGGCCCATGGGCCTCTTGTTTTTGTAAGCTCTGTTTAATACATATAAATGACTGATATAACAGTAGAAAGGTGGGAACCTATATGCTTCAGTGCATGAATAACTTGAGAAGAAAAACAAGTCAATTCCAAATGGATGGATAAAGTTTTCCAACATGCAAACATTTCTGAGAGAAAATTATGTGAATTTTTTTTCCTTCAAAAGCTTCTTAGGCATGTTAGCATCAAATTTTGTATGGACCACATGTATTATTTTTTACAGTGTAATCTTTTTGCTGTTAAAGGTGGAATACTATATTGAGGCCACAGGGGCAGATAATCATGCTGTAAGGGAGGCGGCTTGTGCCTGTATAGCAGAATTAGGATCAAAGGTCAGTGCTAGGATAATCAAAGAGGAAAGTTACAAAAATTACAGCAGGTCCTAATTAAACATGCCACAGAATCTTTAAAACTCTGAAGAACAGCCAGGCCAGAATTGCATATTTTAAAATATGCAAACATCCCAATGTAGTGTAGATTCAAATTTCTTTAAACCATGTCCCTAGGCAGGATTTGGCCACAATAGGGAGCAAAGTTTTGAATGTACATGTATCTATTGATAAATTTTTATTAACTCAAATGTACTGTAAAATGTGCTGAAAGACACTAATGACCACAACAAGATGTTTTATCATCTGTATATCAATATTCATTTGCCAGAAATAGAAATTTGACTTCCTGGAGCATAATGGCCTCTTGTTCAGAAAAAGATTTTTCCAATATTTTCCATTCTATGTGCAATATCATAACCTTTGCAGATCGACAGGAATTTTGTCCGACCATTCATACCACAGCTTTTGGAGGCTCTTTTAATCTGTTTTAATGATGACAGCTGGCCTGTTAGAGATGGTAGGTTTTTTTCTCATATTTCAATAAATATTCTTTGGAAAATCAATATTACATGTACTACTGATTGCAATTTTCTTAAAACAAAAAAATCTATTACCATATAACAAGTTATTTAAGCGATCGGCAAATTTAGTGATTTTATCCTTAAAGTGGGCTTTCATTATTTTAATAATTAAATTTTTTGGTAATATATTTATTTTCTTTGAAAAAATTTGCTTATTAATAATTAATGACACCTATTACATGTATTGGCATTGCAAAGACTATTATTAATAATGCTAATATTAGATGGTTGCTAGAAATTCCTGTTGTACTGTACAAAGCAATGTCCTGTCCAGAATTTGCATAAAATATTGTAATCTGAGTCTTTCCACCTTGCTATGTTTTGTGCTTTCAGCTGCTTGTGTGGCCTGTGGAAACTTTGTTTTGTGCTTCCCAGAAGAATCTAGGTAATGGTCATTGTAGTAATTGTACAAACAAACTCCATTTATGATACATGTTTGTTTGTTCATCACATCGATGATAATGTTGAAGGTTTGAATTTATGTATCTTCTTTTAATCTTCTGAAGGTTAATTTATTTTTAGAATTTTTTGTTTCTGACAGGAGTTCCATGCCTGATCTGTACCCCTTATTTTACAATAATCTACAAGATAGCATCCCTTCAGTTCGACAGGGGGCAGCACTGGCACTTGCCAATGTAGCACAAGTCTATGGTAATATCATTTATGATCATGAAAAATAAAGTAATTAAACAACAAAAAATTTAATTTCACATTACTCATTGTGCATCCTTATTACACCTAGTCCCTGTACATGTAATTACAGTGCACTTAGTTTAAATTATGAAAAGTATTATTATAATTACAATTTATAAAGAAAGTTCAGATATATTTTTGTTACCCGGTATCCCCATCTGTCTATCTATCTGACACTTGTCAGTTGTCACTGCTTCTCCTGCTTCATTTTTAGGATTAGCCAAATATTTAATTTTGAATTGATTATGATTGACCTGGTCCTGTAGATATGCAGTAGAAGCCTAAAAAGATATGCCTAAAGCATTGGAACTCCTCCTACACATTAGGTGGCAGCAAAAAACAATTTTTGGCATACTATTGACTATGACATGTATAGTAAACCACAGTTATAGCAAAACAGCTATAAATAAATTTTACATTCACAGCAAAATGATTATCATTCCGTGTAGATTTGAAATGTATTATGAACTTATTTGATGTAATGTTTACATCAAATCTAAATTGTTCATCCTGGTCACTTTGCTATAAGTGCATTTTTCTGTAGATTTATAATGAGATTTCAGAATTTCAACCTCTGCTTTTGGGACTCCTCAGGGGATTAAAACTTTCAAAAGTGTTTCAAGACCAAATGTACCTTTTTTCCCCATATTACATTGCATAGGCGTCGGAACCGGGGGGGCTGGGGGGGGGGGGCTTAGCCCCCCTCTTTTTTTGCAAAGATAGACATAATATAGGCATTGAAAATTGGGGCTTACCTTTATTCATGGGTTTAGCCCCCCCACTTTCAATTAGCCCCCCCCCCCCCTCCACTTTCAATTTGCTTCCGACGCCTATGCTTTGTATAGGAACAAAACAGTAGAGCTAATCTCATCAGAGGTGGTTTTAAAATGCCCTGTCCCTAGAATCAGATAACAAGGTGTGGGTACGTTATAGTAATAAACTGTCATTCCCAACCATAGCTTTTTGTTTTATTGTACATTGTTTTTTAGATCATTGCAAAAGTAACTTATTTTTAGAGGACTTGAATACAGTACATTGGTATCAATTTGGTAAATCTTTTAAAAAAGAATTTTTTTTTTGTAAATCATGAATTACTAGCATGAGCAGTCTTTATTTTATCTAGGTCAAGAAAGTCATGAAGAAATTCTCAATAAAGTGAAGGAGGGAATAGAGGGATTAAAGAACCAACCAGAGACCACAGAAAAATACAGTGACCTAGATAAAGGACCTGCCACTTACAGTGTGGTCAAAAAGTTAAGAGATAATGACATGGATCTCCACACGGATAAACAGGTACAGTGACCTAAGTACATGCTACAGGCTTAAGTTTTAATAAGCAGATGTAGAGAATTGTTGTCCCCTCCTTTCAGTGTCTTATTAGTTGGGATTCAATTACATGTATTTTGGGTATACTGTAACTATCTTGTATGTCTGTCCTGTCTTGTCTGTCTATCACACAAAAGAGATTTAAATTGAATGTTATGGCCAAGATAGTTTCAAGAAAGTTTCTGAAGACTAACATCAAACTTCAAGGTCAACGTCATGAGGTCAAATATATTACATTTCGAAAGGTCATGTCACAAGTAAAGTAGATGTGAAAAAATATGAAAGCCTGGTTTCTTCTGGCAAAAGTTATGTTCAAAGTTCACAATTTTAAAAAAGTAGATCAAACTTCAAGGTTAAGGTCCTGAGGTGTCACAAGTAATGTACTTGTAAAAATATAAAGGCCCTGTTTCTTCAGGTGCAAAAGCTACTGCCAAAGTTAAATTTTTGAAAAATAGGTCAAACTTACGTCATTACGTCAAAAGTGATAGTGTTGTTACAGGTAATGCACATGTAAGAAATGAACGCTGTAATCTTCTCTCATTTAAAAGTAAATGTTAAAATTTAAGAAAATTAGGTCAAATTTCAAGGTCAAGGTTACAGGGTAAAAAGTACATTTGGAAAGGTCTTGTTACAGGTAATGCACTTGTGAAATTTGAAAGCCCTTACCAGGTACTTTTTCTCATTTAAAATTTATGATCAAGGTTAAAGTTTTTGTGACAGACAGACGGACTGACAGACAAATGAGATTTAATGTCACCACACTTTCAAGAAAGCGGCGGACAGTAATGTTGCTTTATAGCATGTTTGCTTTTTCTACCAACTGCCCAGATATATATCCACATGCTGATGCAAATCAAAATGTCAGATCAAAAGAAGGCTGCATGCAATTATATACATATTCATTTGGAATCTGAATTAACTATAGCAAAATGTGTTGAATTCATGTGTAGTACTTTTAAATACAGTAAGTGCTGGTGGCAGCACATTTGTGGCCTTTTGATTGATTGTTCATTTTCTGATATATCCTTCACAGATGTATTCCTGTGGTTCCCTTGCACCAAAGATGATGAAGGGTTCCAGGGGAGGAGGATGTATGGACCACAAATTCAGGAAAACCCCAGAACCTTGGGAGCTGGCTGATGGGTAACAAACTGTTTATCAGAAGAGAAATGTTTAGGATTAGAAATAACTCAAATGGAATCATTCCCTCAAAATGTGATATTTCCCCTATCATTTTTAAGGCAAAAATCCACTAGAGTTTTGAAACTGTATTACAACCTTGACTGATTGTAATCAATTTTCTTATAATTGAATCTATGATGCTTCATATTAATTTGATAAAGAGGTTAGTTATAGCACTTCATCAGTTTGCAAAATTTTAAAAAAGACAGAGGATCTTAAGAATTCCTCAAAGTTCCTGTGATATTTCTGTTGTAGGTGTGTTCATTTGATAGCAGAGCTTTCCCGCAATCCAGAACTCACATCCACAGTATCTGACCTACTGCCATCACTGGCCAAATCCACCTCCCTCCATCACTACCCCCAGCATGTCAACTACCTGGAGACAGTGTGTAAACAGGTACCGGTAATCATCCAACAAGCATGGTAAAAAAAACCATGCAAGTGTTAATGCTGGGGTTATTTGGGTTATAATTTTATTAATTAAAAGGACAGTTTAGTATTTTTGCAGAACAATATACTATAGTTGTCTGTACAATCAATGTCAAAGTGTTTTTTGACTTCATAGCACATCAGGTCTTGCTTGAATCTGTTTTCTTGGATGAATTTATATTGCAGTTGCCAAACATTGGTAAAAGTCTGGGAAAGAGGTACTTTAAACCACACTTGGAAGAGTTCTTTGATTGCATATTTTATGGTATAGTAAGTATTTGTAGCCATACTTTTTATATTACAAGTTTTAGTAAATGGGAATACAAAACTGTCAGAATATGTACATGCACATATGTTGTAAATCTTGTTAACAATATGTTTGACACTAGTCTTTGGAATACTGTGTAATTATACCCCTGCTCCGAAGGAGAGGGGGGTATACTGTTTTATTATACCCCCGCTCCGAAGGAGAGGGGGGTATACTGTTTTACCCTTGTGTGTCTGTCTGTCTGTGTGTCCGTGTGTCTGTCCGTAACAATTTTTCGTCGCAGTTTTCTCAGCAACTACTCATCATAGATGCTTGAAATTTTAGCACACTCTTTGTCTAGGAATGCCATATGGTCGGATTCATTTTTGTACAAATCTGATGTCAACTTCCTGTTTATCCATGCGTCTGTCCGTAACAAATTTTTGTCGCAGTTTTCTCAGCAACTACTCATCGCAGATGCTTGAAATTTTAGCACACTCTTTGTTTAGGCATGCCATATGGTCGGATTTATTTTTGTACAAATCTGATGTCAATTTCCTGTTTATCTGTGCGTCTGTCCGTAACAAATTTTCGTCACAGTTTTCTCAGCAACTACTCATCGCAGATGCTTGAAATTTTAACACACTCTTTGTTTAGGCATGCCATATGGTCAGAGACATTATTACACAAATCTGGTGTCAACTTCCTGTTTAACCGTGCATCTGTCCATAACAAATTTTCGTCATAGTTTTCTCAGCAGCTACTGACATCGCAGATGCTTGAAATTTTAGCACACTCTTTGCCTAGGCATGGTGGGATTTATTTTTGTAAAAATCTGATGTCAACTTCCTGTTTATCCATGCGTCTGTCTGTAACAAATTTTCGTTTCAGTTTTCTCAGCAACTACTCATTGCTGATGCTTGAAATTTTAGCACACTCTTTGTCTAAGCATGCCATATGTTGGGATGCATTTTTTGTACAAATCTGATGTCAACTTCCTGTTTATCCGTGCATCTGTCCATACCAAATTTCTCAGCAACTACTCATTGCATGTGCTTGAAACTTTGGCACACTCTTTTTCTGGGCATGCCATATGGTGGAATTCATGAGAGTGTATATACACATCAGAGCGGGGGTATTACTAGTGAGCATTGGCTCACAGACTTCTTGTTTTTTTGTGCTTCAGACATGTGATAATGCCCTGACAGCCAGTGCAGCTAGCCAGTGTCTGAATCAGCTGAGTGGGTTCTTAGGACCAAGCATATTGCGTGGAAGGGTGGAGCAGTACAATCCTCGGTAAGCAGACCCTACACCAAATATTTCTTACAGCTGAAGCTTCTTTCAGTTTAGACAGCTTCTAATAAAGCTTGATATTTCAATAAGCTGATCTGGGCTCTAATTGGCGACTAATTTAGTCGCCATGGCGCCTAAAAATTATGATTGGCGCCAGAAAATTTTTCTATAAGTCGCAAAATTGGCGACCATTTTAAATTTACTTGGTGTTCATCAAATTACTGAACTATAAACATTTTCAATTTTTATGCCTCACCATAAATATGGCCAAGGCATATAGTGTTTGTCATGTCCGTCTTCCGTCCTTCCGTCACACTTTGCCTTTAGCTCTGTTCAAAGCTCAGTTTCAAAGAAACTATCCAAGATATTTTTATCAACCTTCATATGCTGATAGGTATTGATGAGAGCTATGCAACTGCATCAACATTTTTTGACCTTGACCTTTCCTTTGACCTTGACCTCACTTTTCTTAAATTAGTGTTTAGCTCAGTTTTAAAGATACCATTCAAGACAGTGTAATCAAACTTCATATGTTGATACATACTGATGTAAGCTATTCAACTGCAACATTTTTTGACCTTGACCTTTCTTTTGACCTTGACCTCACTTTTCTTAAATTAGTGTTTAGCACAGTTTTAAAGATATCATTCGAGATAGTGTAATCAAACTTCAGATGTTGATACATACTGATGTAAGCTATTCAACTGCATCAACATTTTTTGACCTTGACGTTACTTTTGACCTTGACCTCAATTTTCTTAAATTAGTGTTTAGCTCAGTTTTAATGAAACAATTCAAGATATTTTTAACAAACTTCATATGCTGATACATACTGATGAGAGCTATTCAACTGCATCAATATTTTTAACCTTGACATTTCCTTCGACCTTGACCTCACTTTTCTTAAATAAGTTTTTAGCTCAGTTTTAAAGATACCATTCAAGATAGTGTTATCAAACTTCATATGCGGATACATTCTGATGAGAGCTATTCAAATGCATCAACATTTTTTGACCTTAACCTTTCCTTTGACCTTGACCTCACTTTTCTTAAATTAGTGTCAAATTTCATATGCTGATACATACTGACAAGAGCTATTCAATTGCATCAATATTTTTTGACCTTGATCTTTCCTTTGATCTTGACCTCACTTTTCTTAAATTAGTGTTTAGCTCAGTTTTAAAGAAACCATTCATAATGTTTTTATCAAACTTCATATGCTAATACATACTGATGTAACCTTTTCAACTGCATCAACAATTTTTGACCTTGACCTCACTTTTCTTAAGTTAGTGTCAAACTTCAGATGTTGATACATACTGATGTAAGCTATTCAACTGCATCAACATTTTTTGACCTTGACGTTACTTTTGACCTTGACCTCAATTTTCTTAAATTAGTGTTTAGCTCAGTTTTAATGAAACAATTCAAGATATTTTTAACAAACTTCATATGCTGATACATACTGATGAGAGCTATTCAACTGCATCAATATTTTTTACCTTGACCTTTCCTTCGACCTTGACCTCACTTTTCTTAAATAAGTTTTTAGCTCAGTTTTAAAGATACCATTCAAGATAGTGTTATCAAACTTCATATGCGGATACATACTGATGAGAGCTATTCAAATGCATCAACATTTTTTGACCTTAACCTTTCCTTTGACCTTGACCTCACTTTTCTTAAATTAGTGTCAAATTTCATATGCTGATACATACTGACAAGAGCTATTCAATTGCATCAATATTTTTTGACCTTGATCTTTCCTTTGATCTTGACCTCACTTTTCTTAAATTAGTGTTTAGCTCAGTTTTAAAGAAACCATTCATAATGTTTTTATCAAACTTCATATGCTAATACATACTGATATAACCTTTTCAACTGCATCAACAATTTTTGACCTTGACCTCACTTTTCTTAAGTTAGTGTCAAACTTCATATGCTGATACATACTGATGTAAGCTATTCAACTGCATCAATATTTTTTCACCTTGACCTTTCCTTTGACCTTGACCTCACTTTTCTCAATTTGTGTTAACATGTTGCATTACTAATATACCCTCGGTGGGGCATTCATGTCCTATGGACATATTTCTAGCTTTTATAAAGAGCAGAAACGAAGTTTAAAAGTTAGCAATGGACATGTCTCTATATACATGTATTAACTAATATCAGTTTTGAAATTGGTGCCTAAGAAAAATTTACCTGGCGACAAAAATTTGCATTGGTGTCTAAATTTTTTTGATTAGGAGCCAGTTGGAGCCTAAACTTTAGAAGTCACATAGAGGCCTGTTAATAGGGCACCTCCATTATGTTCTTTGAAAATGAGCATCCCTTGACAGTTTTAGAATTCTGCTTCACTCTTGTGTATTTAAGATACAAAAATAAAGTTGCAACCATCACTTTATCACTGCTTGTGTGTTGTAAAATACATAGAGGATATTCAATGTTTTGTAGTTGGATTTGAATTTATTTTACATGTGGGACAGGATTTTTTTTACATTTTCAAGAGTGCGAAGCATGAGTGAAAATATCAAAAAATCCTGTATAACGAGTGAAATAAATTGCAACTAAAAAACATTGAATTTTCTGTTTATTACATTTTCTTTGATTTGTCCCTTTGCCTCTGTCTTTTCTTAATACAGTTTCATAGACTGTGAGGTCAAACGGTCAAAGTTGAGCAGTTGAGACATCACAACTTAGCAGTTGTGAGATTGAAAACATTGTAACATTATTTGGGAAGAAATTGGCAGTTTTAGTCTCTATCAAGATGGTTTAGTTACTATATCATAATTTTTTACTTACTTTATCCTTTCATACTGTGACAGATTATCATTTTGGTATCCTTTCACACTGTGAGAGAATATCACTTTTATTCAATATTTTACTGTTGAAAATGTAATGAATATATCCCCCCACCTAAATTCATTCAAGTACATGGTAAATATAAGAATTTTAAACAGTCTTATTGTGTAAACTTGTCTCTAATAACCTTTCTTTTATGAAAAAAAAATTTAACCTATTGTTTCTCAGGCACCACTGCATCAGGTAAAACATTGATATGGGTAATAACTCAATTTTTAAATTTTTCCAAGTTGAAGAGAAAATGGAGTTATGCCCCTTTTCATATATGCTAATAGAAAGACGTTTTCATTAGCATTTCTTTTTGAAAATGGTACTTTATGAATTTTGTATAAAATGTTTGGAATAACATTATTTAAAGTTCAGTACATAATATAATTAATATAAGAGTAGCAAAAGTTAAAATCAATAGATATCATCATTTTATTGACTCAACAAAAATGAGAACATCTGCTTTAAAAAAAAAACCTGTCTGCCACATTGAATTTTTAAATATTTTTGGCCTGAGAAACAAAAGATTAATTTCTTTGGCTTAAATTTCCAAGATACATTAAAAAAAAAGACACATTCAAAAACTGTCTTTTTTATTTATTTTTTTTTTCCAGATATTTAGAATTGTTGAATGCCAATCAGTTCATTGCACCTCTATAAAGACAGTGCTATACTGGATTCACTAGTCATGGTTTGTTTTCTGCATAATATCTTACATCAGCTGTAATGTGAGAACTTTGAAACTAATATTTTCATCTTGATCACAAGACAAAATTTAATATAACATAACTGACAAAAATCAAAGTCTGATACCAAATGGTTTCATTTGATATACCATCAGCTACACTGTACATATTTTAAAGGCAGCCTTTTTTTCCAGGCAGAAGATCATCTCTGCTGTTAATACCAGTACAAGCAACATGTCATTTCAGCCAAAAGTGTGCATTGTTGGAGAATGTCTTATTAGTGCCATATTTTCTCAATTCACTGTTGTAATATGGTAGCCCCAGTCATTCAATAATATGCATCAAATAATAAAAATCAGTATTGCTACTTTAGTACACCGCTAATACACAAGCTTAACATGAGGATCTTTCATCAATATAAAATTTAACAATTAATTATTGCATCAAAGAACATTTTTAAGCTTAGCAATGTTATTGTGATATTACTTGAGGAGTGCTATATTATAGTTTGGTTTGTTATTAAATTCTAAGTAAAGAATCTGTTGGTCTGTAATTTTTATGAAGATGCCTGCTGAATTATTTTGTTCTGCAAAGAAAAAAAAAAGCATATTCAAGAATGTATTAAGTAAATAATGTATACAATTAACATCCATACTGAAATGATGAAGAATTTTTGGTCTTTACATGAAAAATAATCAAATTAAGTTCACTTATCAGCCAAAATGTGATAATTTACTAAACAAATCTCAAATGATAGATTGCTGGTCTGTGTACCTTAACAAACTGTAGAGCATTAGTTGACTGTAATCCTAAACTACGTATCAGCACCACAGGAGAAAAGTCTGTTGAATATAGATAATGTAAACCATGTATCGTCGTGACGACAGGTAACACTGCCCTCTGGCGTTCAGTTTCATACTTAGTGAGATAATATAGACTGCCAACATCTGATCCTGATTGGACTGCCTCTGCCACCATCCTACACAAACAGCTGACATCACCAAATCCCAGATTCACACCCTGGCCGGCCAGTGGATGGAGTCTGTGTGCTGCATCACTGCAGGGAAATTTGACATCAGTGTCAACATTTTCTATTGCAGTTTTTCAAATTTTCAATTGCAAGTCCAGTTTAAGCCTTCTTTTTTATTATAAATTTATAGTTTTGATAAACAGACTTTACTTCACTTTGAAAACATATATATATATATGAGTCATGAAAAAAGCTTATTCCAAAATATTAATGTGTCTGAAGGACATACATGTATGCTTTGAACCGTATTTACATGTACATGTTTATCACAAACACTCATGTAGAAAGTGAGATCATCATCAGAAAAAAAGGTTTAGATTACAAGACATGTACTACATGTGGTCCTACATGTAAGATAGTAATACCCAATCGTAAATTTTGCCTCTAAATGTATGCTAGCTTCTTTGTACCTGTGTAGCTAAGAAGCCAAAAAAGTTACTCTATAATTTACATAAATTATGTATACATGTATCAGATTGAGCATAAAATGCACAGGTGAGCATATGACCATGGGCCTCTTATGTTAGTGGTTATTACTGATCATTTATACTGGTCTCAAGTTATAGATTGTAATGAAGTAAATTCTGGTTTAAAAGATTACAGAGTAGTCGAAAACTGTCAGTCCTGCCAGCAAGGCTGGTAAAAATTTGTCTAGACCAAGAACTTGCAAGAAAATGTTGGTCCAAATGACCCTTTGAAAAAATCAAGTGTGATGCAATTTTTTAAAAAAGATTTGGGATCTGGGTGTGCATGTAAAAGTCACAAATAAAACAGCAGAGATGGCTGCATGGTGACAATGGTCGATCAAACTTCTTAAAGCAGAGACATTAATTGTTATTTTTGTCTCTGATTAAAGACTCTCTATCCTAAGTGAGATTGAATGCTGTTAAAAACCAGCATTCTGAGAGTATTGCATTAGCAATACTAGTCCCCTACCAGCAAGTATAACCTGGTTCCCATTAAAAACTGAAAGCGGAACAAAATACAAACTTGATCTATAACTCCTCAAATCAGCTCAATATCTGCAATCATTTAGAAAAAAAATTGTGGAAAACCCTTAAAAATTAAAAATGCAGTTATTCCCTCAAAAATCATTGAAACATAACGAAAATGCAAACTTGATCTGTAACTCATCACAGTACACTCGCATACCAAAAATCAGCTCAATGTCTGCAAGAGTTAAGGAAAAAAGTGCAGAAAACCAAGTGGGACAGACTGACAGACAGATGCAGAGGAAACCTATAGTCCCCTCAGGTTTCACTGGTAGGGGACTCAGGGGTAGACAAATAGAAATTGTCAGTACTTGCCCTCAGACAGGCTACCATCGTAAAATTACTTGTCCTGCCAAAAAATATGCTTGTCTCACCTTTTTCTTAAATAACACAAAACTAAAACATTATCATTAACATTTATGACTAACCTTGACCCAAAATCACTAACTCTCCCATAGAGAAATTAAGGGGAAAATTTCTAATTCTAGGGAGACTTCCTAGCGTCTGCACTGTGCATTGATTATTAAACTTAAAATTTTTAAATACATGTACATGTCAATGTATATACATAAACATGTACTTATATGTTTCACTGTATTTTTTACATGAAAATAATACACTTCACACTTGTATCTACATTATTGTGTTATGAAAAAAACTCCCGAATGTCGATTAAGGGTTCAACTTCATGACTGTGTGTGTTCGCCAGTCAACACCTCCAATTTAGTAACAGCAACATGTGTTTGTATCGTGTATTCATGGCATGATTTTTACATTTTGACAAAAGAAAGGTCCAAAATCCTCTTCAACTTTTTTGACATGACATCGATACCTGCCGTGTTCTACTTTTCATGTATACATGTATATATTATCAAGACATGAATGGGCAATTCTAGAGAAGTTCCTACCGAGTGTTCGATGTAGTAGTCAACTGCATCGAAAACAGATACTCTGCTGTGATTCATTATATTTTAACAACGGTAAAACAAAACAACATTTGAGTATATGATTTTTGTTAACTGGAAAAACACTTGTCCGTGGGCCGAAACCAGTTATCAAATAACTTACCCGCCAAACAAAATTGGTTGTCCCGGGCGTCGGGCAATGCTATTTGTCTAGCCCTGGGACTAATGAGAAAGTGCATTTTGGTGCAGTTATTAGTCCCCTACCGGTGAAACCGGAGGGGACTATAGGTTTCCTCTGAGTCTGTCTGTCCCTCTGTGTGTCAGTCTGTCCCACTTGGTTTTCCGGACTTTTTTCTTTATGCTTTTGAGAATTGATTTGAAACTTGCTATGTAACTTTATAGTGATAAACTACAGATCAAATATGAATTTTATCATGTTTAACCAAAAGGTTCCAGAGTAAATCGGTTTTAAACATTCCTCTTTTTTATAATAGTTCAAGATCAGGTTCATGCTGTACTGTATTGTTACAAAACGAGGTTGTCAGGTTTAAAATTATTGATTTCAAACTTGCTAGGTAGCTTTATAGTGACAAACTATAGATCAAGTGTGAATTCTGTCACATTTGACCAACAGGTGCTAGAGTAAATCAGTTTTAAGCATTTCTCCTTTTTATAATCGGGTTCACAATCGGGTTCGTGCTGCACTAAAATGTTCCAATAACGGGGTTGTCGATTGTGACAGAAGATGGTAAAGTAATATTGTGCATTGCTTTCAGCAATTCCTACCAGCGAATACTTAATATACTTGGCGAAATAATACCAGATGCAATAAAGACTGGATATTTTTCCCCGATTTGAATTGTTTTTTATATCCCTATTAATTTATAAGTTAAAGGCAGAGATTTTTTAACGGGTGGTAAATGGGTTAGGGAAAACGAGTAATGTAAGCAATTGTCATGTTATTCATACATTATATGATTTTAGTCAAACACATCTTTGCAAGACAGATTTCATTCCATTTCATTCATAAACAAGTAATGCAAAATGTCCACATTTTTGGGGGGGGGGGGGGGGGGAGCAGTTATCATATACAGGGTCTTATAAAATGACATCCTAAAAAGAAAAGGGGATACAGGTAGGCGACATGTATTGCTTATGCAATACTCTCAGAATGCTTGTCTATTTTCATTTCTCTGTGTACAAAATAAGGTACATATATCTTTAATGACGAAACTTCGTCCAGTCTGACAGAATATTGGACTTTGTCAAACCAAATGTCTGACAGTGATTAAAAATTTCCACAACTCTGAAAGAAGAAGTTTCAGAAAAATGTTTTTCTGTATTAAAAATAAAAAATAAAAAAATAAGGCCGAAAGTTGGAATTTGAAATCATCATTTTTCGACCCCTATTAAATGCTCCCAGGGTGAAAACAAAAATTCAGAATCCTTAATATTGCACACCTATCATATTGCAAAAGATGGACTGGCTACTAGGTAAAATGAAGTTCTTGGATCTAGGTTTTTGTAAAATGAAAAACATGCATTTTTTGATCCCATTTGACCCTTAAGGTGAAAATGAAAATTCCGAAACCTTATTGCACATCTGCAGGACACCCCCAATCATCTTGCAAGGGATGAAATGGCAACTGCATAAAATGTAACAAGAGTTCTGGATAAAAGGTTTGTATAAAACGAAAAAAGTCATTATTTGACTCTAATGTGGCCCCCAGGGTGATAATGAAAATTCCCAAATCTTATTCCACATCTGCAGAATACCCCAAATCATTTTGCAAAAAGATGAGATGGCTACTGGGTAAAATGTATAGGGAATTCTGGAAACCAGGTTTCTGTAAAAAAAAAAAAAAAAAGAAAAGTTTTTTTGACCCCCGGGGTGAATGAAAATTCCAAAAACCTTACTGCATATCTACAGGACACTACCAATCTGTCAAAATATGAACTGGTTACTGCTCAAATTGTAAGCGGAATTACAGGAAGAAGGACAGACTAGGATAATGACAATATACCCAAACTTTCTTTAGAAAGTTCAGGTATAATGAGTTTATAGCAGGCTTTAATTCATCAAACTTGATCAGTTTAAGATACATAAATGGATCCTGGAAGTTTAGGAACCTGTATGGCAAGTTTAATGTACTGTAATGACATCACAGAATACAAAACATTCAGACATTCTGTGATGATTGTACGAAAATGGTTAATCAAATTGGAGGGTACAACTTACCCAATTAAGGCAACACGTGGCTTTACATAGTTTGAAGCATGGGTTAGAGATAAAGGAAATGAAGCACGACTTCCTGGATCCACACCAACCACTGTGGGAGGTAACTGGCGTATCACCTGATTATCTACAGGAAAAATGGGAAAAACCACATTCTACAAAATTTATCTAAATTTTGTTTACAGAATCCTTATTACTACTAAATGTAGCTTACCAATAAAAATACTGTTGAGAAATTCTTGGTATTTGTGTGAAATGGACATAACTGTTGAATCCTTATCTCTTTCATGCCACTAAAAAGAGAGAAAAAACTGTCTTTACTAAAGGCACAGAAATTTATTATGAATTTGAACTTTTCAGTCAATTCTATTTACAAGAACACAAATTTATAAAATTATAATCAGAATTAAATTACTGTACAAAAATAGAATGTAATGTACATGTATTTTTTTTCTAGTAAAAAAACTTACAAATGCATCATTAACAGCATCAACAAAACTGTCGTCTTCCAAGTCTTTCAGATATTTTGCCTTTGTTGGAGTTGTTGTCCAAATTAGACAGCTGTAGTTATTGGATAACTGAAATACACCAGCATAAAATTTATCAAATATTACATGTACTGTGAAATCACATATTTTCATGGGTCAAATTTTCAAGGTTTGAAGGAAAAATATTGGTTGGAGATTTGATTTCGTGGTTGGGGAAGTGCTGAATAGTTATGTATATGAAGTTTTACATTTCATGGTGGGTCTCTTCATACCTCGAAAACAATGAAAATTAAACCACCACGATTTCATAGTATGTGAGAAAGCTCACAAAAGTGTCTTTGGTTCCCTATGAGAGAAATGTTTAACTATCAAAATTTACTGTATTATTAATCAAATCAAAATAGCTCTTATGACTGGAGTTACTGTATATGGGGAAAATTGTTTTTTTTTTTTTATTTTTGCCACTTTTGTCTTCATTTTCTGAAGGCTAATTCAACCAATACAGAGTTAAAATGCTAAAATACACCTGTTGAAGAAATAAACATGCCAAGAAAATCTGAGTAATTTTTTGGGGGGGAGGGGGGGGGGTTCAGTCATCATCTATCAAAGAAGACATATGTATATTAAATAAATAGAAATTAGATATTATATAAAACATAGGTGTGTAATTTTTCTCAGCCTATTTTAGCATGACCCCAACATAGATGTCAGAATGTGAATTTTTAGAAACTGACATTCCAAGGCCACATGGGGCTGTTTGGAACCACTGACAGGTTAATAAAGTAATAAGATACAGATTAAAATATATGGTTAATTAACAGATACCATGCTTTTAGCAGGGGAACACGTGTAATAACATCCGAAACATATGATAAGAAAGTGATGGGGTAAATTTAATGTTTTACAATGCTTGGATCTGTACTCTCTGGTTTGTCTTTCCGAATTTTCTCATCCAGAGAGCTACAGTTCTGCAGCTAATTTAAAACACACAGAATCATTTGCAAATGTGATAGGGAAAATATAATATGGGGCATGTTTATCACATTTTTTGCTGTATACAGTATTTTTCAGTGAATAAACATTTCTGCTAGATATGTACAAAGAAGTGCTGCATGAATAAATGTGTAAACAGAATGTCTTTTGTGTAGATAGCTTTATAAATAACCTGAAAGTGTGCATTTCCAAATTCACATGGACAGTAACAGAAAACTCACAGGTAACATAGCTATTGGTCCTGTCGGGAGAAACCTCTGCCATGCAACATTGTTGTCTGATGTCTGCAAAAATAAAAAAATAATTGAATAGTACTTGATTACCAGAGGTAATCAGAGATTACAGAGCTCATCTCAATGAAAGTTATCTTTAAGTAAGTCAAAGTCCCAGATTAAACTAATAATCTAGTACATGTAGTGTAAATCTCTAGATGCAACATTTTTTGCAATTTTGGTCTGATAGGGCTTGCAGTTACTTGGGAATGGACTTGTTTTAACATTTAACTCATTATCCAGAAAATGCAAGTCAAATCTAGCATCTGAAGCAAGTTTGCGAATGTTCATCCCTTGATGCATCATCCATGCAAGTTTGGTCTAGGTGGGGCTTGAGATTACACTGGAATGCGTCTGCTCCAAAAACTTTAATCTGGTCACTAATCTGGAAAATGTAGGTCAAATCCGGCAACTGAAACAACTCTGCATCCCTTGATGCATCATCCATGCAAGTTTGGTTCAGATAGGCCTTACAGTTTCTTGGTAATGGACCAGCTCCAGAATCTTAAATCTGGTCACTCATCAGGAAAATATAGGTCATATCCTCCATCCAAAGCAACTCTGGTAGTGTGCATCAATAAATATATCTTCAATGCAAAGTTTGTTGGCATTGGGCTTATAGTTACTTTAGAATGAACCTGTATTTTTACTTGGTCACTCATCCAGAAAATGTAGGTAAAATCCTGCTTTCAAAGCAAGTCCAGTAGTGTGCATCCTTAGACATATCATCTAATAAGTCATCTTTGGTCAACATATGGCTAATAGTTACATGTACTTAAGAATGAACCTACTCCAGAAACTTTAACCTGGTCACTCTTCTGGAAAATGTAGGTCAGATTCAGCATCTGAAGCAAGTCCAGTAGTGTGCATCCTTAGATGTGTCATCCATGCAAGTTTGGTCAACAAAGGGTTAAAGTTATTTAGAATGAACCTGCTCCAAAAACTTTAACCTGGATACTCATCCGTAAAATGTATGTCAGATTCAGGATCAGAGGCACGTCTAGTACACATCTTTAGATGTATCATCCATGCAAGTTTGGTCAACATAGGGCTAGTAGTTATTTAGAATGTACCTGCTCCAAGAACTTTTACCTGGTCACTAATTTGGAAAATGGTCAGATCCAGCATTTCAAGCAAGCCTAGTAATGTGCTTCCTTAGATGTATCATCCATGCAAGTTTAATCAATATAGGGCTTACAATTACTTGGAAAGGATACCCACTCCAACAACTTTAAACTGCTCCAAAGACTTTGACCTACTCCAAAAACTTTAACCTAGTCATTTTTAAGCCGGAATTATAGCATCTAAATTCTGAAACCTTGAATGGTACAATGAAACATGATAGAAGAATCCTCCATGCATCTCTGATTAAGGAAGCTCTAAACAGTAAGAAATATGCTTTTTGGACTTTGAGAAAAATATATCATATAAAAGCAAACATATTCAGTGTATCTAGTTCATTTTCAACATAGGGTGCCTGCCTAATTTCCGTAGAATAAATGTTCAAAGACAGTGAACTATTTGTGAATTGAAATCACTGTTGTTTACTTGCATCAGGAAAATTGATGGAAATAATGTATTCAATTACTTAATCTTGGTCTAACATAACATTAAGAATACTTTAATTCATAAGAAATTGTGTCATTAACTGTAGATTCCCATTTATTCTATTTTTCTTCTAAGGGCAGATCACTCTAACTCAATAAAACTACCCTACAAACAGAACTCTTTCGTGTGCAGTGTTTAGAGCTTCCTTAATATAGGGCATAGAAGTACTTGAAAAGAAATCTGCTCCAAAAACTTTAACCTAGGACTCTGACACCAAGGGTATTACATAAGCTCCCCCAAACTTTGTTGGGGTGAGCTAAAAATCATTTTTTATTTCAATTCAAGAAAGAAAACATTCATATTAGGATCTTCACTTTCCTTCACATTTTCCTTACCCCTGAGACTTCTAAGATGGCTACCAAAGCCTGCTGTTTGTAGTCATGATGAAACACATGGAATTTCCCAGCTTTTCTGACTGCAGAGTTCATGCCATCTGCTCCTATCTGAAAAATGTGTCCAGGGAGAAAACTCTTCTGTAGTATTATCTTAATTAGATCATTTTAAATGGTTAGTAACAAACTGAAATGAAATTTTCTCATTATACATGTATTTCTGAGAAATAAAATTTTAAAAAGCCCTGGAAGGATTTATTTTCGTAATTCTCTCCCTCTCTGTGTATTTGTTTCAATGTTTTGTATAAAAAAAAAACAAGATGAGTTTGTGAAACACTGATGCCCCCATATGGCAGCTTATAGCGAAGGTTAAAGTTTCTCAAATGCAAGTCAAACTCCAGGTCAAGAGATAAAAAATGTTAGTATCCAAAGAAAGGTCTTGTCTCGAGGAATATACCTGTAAAATATGAAAGCCAAAGCACCAACTGTTGAAATGTTATGGCGAAAGTTAAAGTTTTTTAAAAGTAACTAAAATGTCAAGGTCAAGGTCAAATGGTGCCCAAGGAAAGGTCTTGTCACAAGTGATACACGTTTGAGAAATGTGAAAGCTCTAAAACCAAACATTCAAATGTTATGGCCAAGGTTAAAGTTTTTTAAAAGTTGGTCAAACTCCAAGATCAATGCAAAAATTGTTGGTACCCAAAGGAAGGTCTTGTCACAAGGAATATACATGTGAAGTATGAAAGCCCTAGCACCAACTGTTCAAAAGTTATGGCCAAGGTTAAAGTTTTTCAAAATTAAAGTAGGCAAACTCCAAGGTCAAAAGGTCAAAGTTATTGGTATTCAAAGGAAGGTCTTGTCACAAGGAATACACATGCGAAGTATGAAATCCCAAACACCATCTGTTCAAAAGTTATAGCCAAGGTTAAAGTTTTTTTCAAAAGTAGGTCAAACTCCAAGGCCAAGGTCAAAGGGTCAAAGTTATTGGTATCCAAAGGAAGTCTTGTCACAAGGAATACACAAGTGAAATATGAAAGCCATAGCTATAGCTCAAACCAGTCAGAAGTTATGGCAAGGTTAAAGTTTTTGCGGACAAACAGCAGACAGTCAGACAGACGGACAGGGCAAAAACTATATGCCCCCGAATCTTCGATTAAAAAAAAAATGAAAATGCTATAGATTAATTTTAAATAAATTAAATTCTAGTATCCTTTAAGGCCTGGATATTGAAGGAAAAACCAAGATTTTTAAATATATGTAATTGTATAAATAATGTCATCATTTCAGGTACTGGATGACTCAACAGTTGTTCAATTTCTTACATTACTAACCCAGATGCTATCACTCACCAGTAGCTTTGACTGAATGCTTTGTCCTTTGTCTGTTTCTATGGTAACCCAGGTGTTTTGATCCACGCTGTCATGGCCAGGTGTAGCTCCTGGTATAATGTATGATTTGGCAGATGTTTGATATTGAATCTCCACTCGGTCGGAGAGCGTTGACAGTCGCCGCCTTATAGCTTCCAAGATCACATCATTCTCCACAATGTAGGCAAGGTCATTCATCAACTCCTCATCATTAAAGGTGATCAGGGAATCGGAACAGGATTCCCACACCTGTATTGTGATAATTTATTTATTTATTCTTCCAGTCAAAGAAGAAGATTTTTTCCCTATATTTTCTATGTGAAATTAAGATAACATATCGTGGTCCCATCTTGGGGGTCAAGATTTGAACTACCGGTAACTTGATACAGTGCGGACTCGTTATTACGATGTTCATTTTGTCACGGTAAAATATCGTAATACCGAGGGCAACGTAATAAAAGTTCCCAATAAAATCCAGTAAAACATCGTTTTGAAAGCTTGTTGTTGTATTAGGAGGTGTATTTTTCTCCTTTTGTTTCCTTCTTCTGTTCAAATTCTTCATTAAAACGCTATATACATATAATTTATTAATAACTTATCTTGAATAGATATCTTCATGATGCTATTTCTTCTATTTCCTTCATTTTAAAAGAAATGTGGGCATTTTTTATAAAAACTTCGGCACTCTTCATTCATCTGCCACCATTTCCTTTTACTTTTACTTTCGTTTCTGTCTAGATAATGCGTTCGTAAAATTTTCAATGTCTTCATATCGTTACTACATAAATAACAAACAATACATCAATCGGCGGTTTTGGGTGTTAAATGAGCTTAGAGCTGCAGTGAACAACTGATGAAAGTGGGCAGTGTGATAGGCATATTCCTGGACAGGATTTGAGAACACACAAGCTAAATGTCAAAATAAATTTGAATTTTTAAATTACTGAACAGAGTTCAATTAGCAGTTCAGCAATTATCAATTTGTATTTCTGCTGACACCTGTGAAGTAGTCCAAGCCACTATCCAAGCTGTTAAAACGTTACTGGAGTTCAAATTTTGCCAAAATTATGTTTGATACCCAAGCTGTCAATTCCCTCTGTTTAACTGCAAACGAAATTACACATTACATATTTAACATACATGCATGCGATTAAATGTTACCCTTTATTTAATAAATTAATTTACTTATTAACCATAGTAAAAAAAAATGATAAAATAAACTTTACAGAGATAGATAAACTAGAGACTACATTTATAAATAAACAGTTTAATTGTTTAACAATGGCTTTGGCACGTCTCTAATTCTGCTGACCTCGCTAGAACAGTCAAGGTGTGTGCAGTCAAGCATCACTAATCACCTAACGGCCCTGCAAGTTAACACTCTGTCAGAGCACAGGTGTTTCAATGTTTATTTAGCGTCTCCTTAAGTGTCTACAGTCGATAAACACTGAATAAACACGGGGTGGAAAAAAAAATTTGGACAGAATTTTTACATCGTAATACCGAGTCCCGGCATTTTAGGACATCGTAATAAACAGTTCTATTTTGTATAGATTTGTTAAAAAATGGTTTTGTGCTTTGAATTTACAACGTAATAAGCGTTCTATCTTATAAAACCGTCACCGTAATAACGAGTCCGCACTGTACTTACACTACTTGAGGATGCTTCCCATATAATATGAATAATAATTCTTTTGCCATTCTTAAAAAGGAGACTTTTTAAGATTTTTCCTATATATTTCTATGTAAAACTTTGATTGCCTATTGTTGCTCAACCCTTCCCCCGTGGGTCTTGATTTGACCAATCTTGAATCTAATCTATCTAAGGATACTTCCATATGAATATGACTAACCATGGCTTTGCTTGAGAAGATTTTTATAGATTTCGATCCTTCATTGCCCCAATCTACCCCCAGGGGTCATGAATTGAACAAACTTGTTTCTACACTACCTGAGGTTACTCCGATATAAATATGACTATAATCATGGCTTTGCTGTTCTTGAAAAGAAGATTTTTAAAGATTTCTCCTATATATTTTCCTACGTGAAACTCTGATTGCCCATTGTGGCCCCACTCTACCCCCAGGGGTCATGATTTGAACAAACTTGAATTTACACTACCTGGGGATGCTTCCATATAAATATGACTATTCATGGTTTTGCTGTTCTTGAGAAGAAGATTTTTAAAAAATTTTCCTACATATTCCTATGTAAAACTTTGATCGCCCCACACTTTCCCCTTGGGTCAAAATTTGAACAAATTTGAATTTACACTATGTGAGGAAGCTTTCACATAGGTTTGATCTTTACTGGCCCAGTGGCTCTTGAGAAAAAAGATATTTAAATGACCCCACCATATTTTCAATCTTTTTAATTACTATCCCCTTGGAACAGGGTTTGGTCCTTCATTTGAACAAATTTGAATCCCCTTCACCCAAGAAGATACTCTGGTTGAAATTTGTCTAGTGGTTCTGAAGAAGAAGATGAAAATGTGAAAATTTTATGATAATGATGATGACAGACAATGGACAAATTATTATCAGAAAAGCTTACTTGTTAATATTTAGCATTCAGCTCAGGTGAGCTAAAAAATTGTATACAGCATAAGACATATAGACCTATTACCATTGCATTATTTCTCTTGGTTTTCAACCAACAGAGTTAAAATCTAACCTGCATCCTCTTGACAGATTGACATCTCATCTGTAAGATTTCATCCCATACTCCTGTACCTAAGTAATTACGATCATTATCATATAAGAATTATCAAATAAAGTCAAATTAGACTGAAATACAGGTTACTGCAATGTTTTGAACATACTCTGAAATAAGCTGACTGTTGCTGGACTAAGAGCACAGGTTCTGTTACTAAAGCGTTCACTCAGCTGGAAATTTTTCTTTTCAGGAGCTGACTCCAGAAGTATAATTCTTTTGTCCTGCAGGTAATCAGCATGTCCTAAAAAAGTAGATAGATTGTAAAAAAGCATTTGTGTTGGGCTTATAATTTTAGAATCTACAAAATTTGTTTGTTTGTTGTTTAGTATGGTACCTTATTTCAAACCCTTACATGGTGATAAATTTAGAGAAACATTTCCTCCATGTTTACAGTATATTTTGGGGAAAACATTTATTACAGAAACAAAGTACCAGTCACTGAGACACCAAGGCCAACACTCCCAGTCTACTACATTCTCAAATCCTAGATACATAGCACCAAGCAACAGGATAGAGAAAATGTATGAATGGACTGGTAATTGAAATCAAAACCCATGCCACTTGCACAGTAATTAAGCTCTAACTACAATACCTTGGTGAAAATAAAATTCGTACTTTACACATTGATCCAATTGGATTTTTTCCGCAGTTGCCTTGAAACCCACAATGCAACACAAATGCATCTCGCTGCGACACCTCGGCCCAACGACATCTCGGCCCATTGACACCTCGGCCCCGACGGGTCGGCCCAAGATTTGAGACACCTCGGCTCACATAAAAGACACCTCGGCACAAACAAAAATGTATTATTTTGAATATATTTATTCAATATATTCTGTAGTATATTATTGTGATAGGGACTATACAAGGATTATGCGATGGATTATATTGTTATATATCCATGAAGCGTGAAAGAAAATAAATGAATAATCTTCCGAGAGTAAATTGACGGTAATTAAAAAAGATTATCCATTACAAAGTGCCAATCGTTAAACAAACAAGAAGACACGGCGCATCCTTTAGAGTCATATGGGGTGGTGACAATGAGGAGTTAATTACGAGCAGGAATAAAGCTCCAGATAATAAGCACCGCCTTCAGATTTACCTGGTCTGTGTACCCCAGTCAATCAAGTGAACTTAAGTCCATCATTGGGTGCTTGATATTTTTGTTAGAAATACATATGTCAACAACTATAATACAGATTTCGTTTTAAATTGTTTTAATCATATTTTAAATTTATAATGTATAGGGATTAGTTTAATGGAATATAAAAAAAAAAATGAAAACCAGTTAGTTTTTTAAGTCCGTCAGAAAATTTTTAAGTGAAAATAAATGTTAGATTATATGCAATTTTTAACATATCAATCCTAACCAAAAAAAGAATTCTTAACATCATGAAATGAATAAAGTTGCATTGTAATAAGCAACAAAATGAATAAATAAATAGACCTCCTACCTCCCACTCAATAGATACTCGCTGACATCTATTGTTCGTTCAAAAATTCTGAAATTATCTGCTCCTATTTATCGTCTACATATCGTCATTATACACACATACATTTATATTACCATAGTGAATACAGATAATAATTCTGAAAATAAAAAAAATTCCATTGGCCGAGGTGACTTCAGTATGGGCCGAGGTGTCAATAATTTTGGGCCGACCTGTCAGGGCCGAGGTGTCAAACGTGATGGGCCGAGGTGTCGTTGGGCCGAGGTGTCTGTCTACCTTTCAGACAAAGTCAACTGGCAAACTGTTTATTGACATTCTCTTCTACGATAATTTATCTACAAAACCATATGTGGCATTTAGTTGGCTGTATTTTCTTTCATCTCTGTAAACAACATCAAAACTCTGCTCGCTGACTGAAAAATTTGTCTCACGCCATGAAGAGCTACTACATACTGTAGATATTACTCATCAATACTGCCCAAGCCACTACAAAATTTTCACTTGCAGAAAATATATATAAAAAAAAAAATCCTGTACGTCCCACTTGTGAAATAAATTCCATTTTCCAACTGAACAAAACAAAATGACCTAGGGTAAACTTAAGATACAGAATAGGAAGGATCTCTTTACCAATCATGGTCCTGGGGGCATAACATTTTGAAGGAAGATATCAGATATCAATATGAACATATATGCTTTGAACTAGGCCTATAGTCCTGTACCTACCTATTGCACATGCCATTGCAGTTCCAACCATCCCACCTCCAGATATAACGATGTCTGCCTTTTCACAGCCATTGCTAGCAGAGTGTAAGTTTCTTGATGCTAGTGTATACACAATTCTAGATGTTATATTACATAACCTGCAATGTTTAAGGATATTGCATGCCATCTTACAGTGCTGAGCTGTGCGTCTGTCAAAATTAGAATTACCCCCCTTACCTGGCCCGAACCTATATTATGTAAACTAATAATGTTAAAGTATCAATAATATTCATTTTACATTCAGATATCATTGAAAACATACTTTGCGATCATCAGTCATTTGAAATTATTTTTTTAGTACGACAACAAGATTTTAAAATAAAATTGACCAATAACAATAGACTTCTCTATTTACTGCTGCGCACCTTGCATAGTTTGGTGAGAACATGGCAACAACCCACGGTTTGACAGTTTTAGCACATTCATGCATAAAACCACCAAGAAATCCCAAAACTGGCCTCTCTTCAACATGGCATGAGAGAGCAAATGCATATCACACGTTTGTATTACAAAATTCAGACACAGACGTTAACGCAAACAGCAATAATCAAGATGGCCACGAAGACTTCGGTAGGTCTGTTCATGTTTACACTAATCCCGCGATTGATGAAATTTCATCACAACTTCAGGATCTTGATGACAACGAATTTTATCAAAAACTGTTGAAACTGAAAAATGAGCATAAAAAGACTTTATATTTATGCGAGCAACTCTACAAGAAAAAAATTTCGAGTGACAAACCACAGTCCAATGGTCTATATCTTGATGATGAGCCAAAATCTTCAAATATTAATGTCTGTTTAGATGATGAGAGACATGAAGATGAAAAGACAAATGATAAGTATATTGAAAGGGATATACTACACACCACAGCTAGTAAACCACCAACTGGACGCCAGCAATTCCATACCTCACCAATGTCAAAAAAGGCAGGTTTCAGTACAATGCCTCTACCTCGACCAAGCTCTGCACCAGTGTATAGAAGGAGGGGATCGCTAACAAAGAGCTTAGAAGAAGAGGTCTGGGCAAAAATAGCTTCAGAGAGAGGTCAACAACGTGAGAGTGCTGATTCTGACACTGAACTAAACACTGAGAGACTTTTGAGGACATCTGATGATATAGTGAGATCATCAGATGAACCAGAGTTAGCAGCAGCAATGACACGTATTGAAGACATGTGGGAACATTTTTCAGTGGAGGACTATGCTCCTAGGCAAGTAAGGGAAAGACCATCATCAGCATCTGTTACACGAAGAGAAAAGGAAAAGGAGAAAGAGTGGAGACATCGAATAACCATTCCCAAGCCTTTCAAAATGACCCTGAGGGAAGCAAACAAAGAGAAAACAAAAAGCAGACTCCAACTAGAACATGAACAAAAGGTCATAGAGGAAAAAGTTAGAGAAGATCTCGAATGTCAAAAGAAGTTTAAAGCACAGCCTGTTCCTGCTCACGTGTATATTCCTCTTTATGATGAAATTAATGAGAAGAATGAGGCAAGAAAAAGATACATCAAGCAGTACAGTCGAGAACTTCTCAAGTCTCAAGAAAAGCCATTCAAATTTCACACAAGAGAAAGGGAAAATGAAAAGCATGCCAGAACATCTTCTGCACCTGTAGAGAGAGATGTCCACACATTCAAAGCCAGACCTGTTCCAGGATATTTATATGACTCTTCTATTGATGATCAATTGAAAGAAGAAGAGGAATATCGTAAAATTAGAATCAAATTAAGAGCTGAAGAGATGTACCGCAAGTCCCAAATGCCAGAGAACATGGAAATGAGACAAAAAATTAAAGATATGAAGGCTAAAGAAAAGAAGATAAAAAGCAAAAGAAAAAGCACATCAGCAAGTAAAGTTAAACATGAGGTTCCTGATTATGAGGAGCTTTACAGACATTTTCAGAAGGAGCTGCTAAGAAGAAAGCAGGAGAGAGAAGGGACAGTGGTGAAACCATTCAAACTGAGTACAGCAAGTACATCAAAAAGGGAGAGAATTCTGGAGGACATGAAGAGAGATGAAGAGGTACTGAAAGAAAACAGATGGCCATACATGACACCTAGAACAACACCCAGAAAAAGTCTAGGTATGTCAATATTTACTTCATATTGATCACTGATCCAGTTAAAATGAAGTACACTGCAAGATTTTTTAATAGTGAGGTTACTTGTACACATGGTTTGATATCTTTCTATAATATGTAAAACGTACCTTTACTGCTGTCAAGTAAACCCTATGCTGTTAATTTAAGTTAAGCATTGGAAATGAGAAAGAAGATGGTCAAACAAGGCAACCTAAATTCCTATTGTGTGACAATTAAGAAAGTGAAAAGTTATTTTTCAATTTTGACAAAATTTTCTTTGATATTTCATTTAACAGTAAGGTAATTTATGTAAAATCTTCACAAATTGCAACAATCTCAAATTGCTTGAAATTATTCGTCTATGAAATAGTACATACACCAAAGAGAACAAAAATGAAGAATTCTTCATACTCAGGGGTGTGCAATTACAAAAATTAGTTACTAGCCTGACGGGCTAACGCAATATAGATTTATGATAGCCCGACCTTATTGCACACCCCTGATACTAAAGAATAATTTTTCCATATTAATGGATCTTCACTCCATTTTTAAAGATAAAAGTAAAAGTATGTGTAAAAAAAATATAATACATTCTTCGGTTAACAAAAACATGGACCAAAGACCCACTATACCTTAGAAATTCAAGTTACAAATGTATAAGCTTTTTGCATGCCTTGTTTGCCCATCTCCTTAGGACACATTTTCTGATCTTTCAAAAAAAAAAAGAGAAAATCAAATTTAGCTGATGGATCCTCATTTCAGGCTTCTTGTCTAATTCCCTGGACTCGCTGCCTGCATCTTCTACTAAGGCTACAGACTTGAGAACTGAAACTGTGAAGTAAGACTTTGACATTATGATTGATATTGGAGATTTAATTTCATGATTTCTAAAATGACGTAATAAAGAAATCATTTATCAGTGTGCTATTTATGTTATAGCACACAGCAGTCTCTGGAATTTGGGACATTGTAATAAAAATCATTTGTTCTATATCAGTTTATTAGGAAATATGGTTTTGTGCACCGAATTTCCAATGCAATAAGCATTCTATTTGTAATATACCATGAATGTAAACAGTAATTATGGGACTCCACTGTAATAGATTTCCATTGTGCTGTGCTTTAATTAACCTTCAAATTTTAAATTTACTGCATGTTATGTAAAGCAATAACTATAGATATGAAAGAGTGCAAGATTTATTAGACTGTAATATTTTGACGTTTTACAGGTGTAAGAAAGGTATTTTAAAAGATAGGGAACAGCAGGAAATAGAGCAGGATAGAAAAAGAAGAATTAATGAGATGAGGCTAAGGCGAAGCATTCAGGAGCGGACAGGAGGCGACTTACAACCAACTCTGGAGGAGACAACACTTAGGAAGCTCAGAGCTTGCAGGTGAGGGGGTAGGGGACTATTGGAGGGGTGGATACTCAGTCTGGTTATCAATAAATGTAGCATTTTTCTACGTACTTGTTTTTTTTAATCAGTTTCATTAATATCTATGCAAAAAGTTATAAATATATTGTATTTTATCAAGCAATACATTCAATTTCAAAATGTGTCAAGTTAACATAATACATTTTCCATTTTATGACATCCATCTAATTTTAGGGAAGAATATAAATTGAGGTAGAAAAAAATGCTTGATAATTTTTTGATGTGGAACTTTGCAGTATGGTTTAAAGAAAGTGAAGAAAACAGAATTATTTGTTCATATGATGTGAAAGCATTTTAAAAATTTCAAATTTATTACAGAGAAGCTGAAAGGGAGAGAATAGAACAATATGAGAAAGAGCTTGCAGAAATGAAAGAGAGAGTGGAGAAAAGACCCCTTTTGGTTGAAAGACAGTCACAGGTATGTCTGATTAATGACTGCTTGGCAGGGTTGTCCCTAAGACCTTGGGCCAGGGAATTTCCCTGCCTATTAGGATGCAATCCCCTGGTAATTCTGGTATTCCCACTCAACTCCCTCTTAAGAGAGGAACTCCAGACCCCCTTTTACCTTTTTAATGTCCCCTGCTATTTCAAATCTTAGGGACAACCCTGCTTAGTAATATTTACTCAGCACAATATGCCGGGATGAAGTTATACTCTTAAAGGCTAAGATTTTTAACCACACAGTTTTTTCAGGTAAGGGGAGGGGCATAATTCGACATGCTTGTTATCCCAAGGCAATAATGGTTGGGCAAATCATGCTGTCAAGCACTACCAGTAATCCCTATACATGAACAGAATACACAGGAAGTCCATAAGAATTACCTGTGGGGGTTTCTAGAGGTGGTTGATAAAATAAAGATTTATCAACCAATAAAATTTATAACCATAAGCTTCCTTATGGAGAGAAAATATCATAAAATTACATGCATAACTGACATTTGACATATTTTAAAAATCTAAAATTTTAATTTCTTCAAACAAACAGATTATAGACCTGTAAAATGTATCAATCTTTGTTTCAATTAGTTTTGAACACAAAGTATAGTCATGTAATGTGGTAAAAATCTTTGTACATGTATATTTATTTCAATTATAAATGTTCAAAATTGAATAGTATAGTTATCAATAGTACTTATTGAAGTTTTTCATAATAAAATTCATGAACATCAATCATGAACAATTCAGTTACAGAAAACCCCCATTTGTTATGAAAAGTCACATGGCACTATTTTTACAGCTTTGGAGCAAAAAAAAAATCAGTGAAAAATGCAGCATACAAAGGCCAGAATCATTCATAGTGTAGATACTGATTCAGACTAAATTCCCACTGTCTTCCTTGCAAGTAAGCGAGGAGTTGTAAATTCAATCATTGGATTTAAATAAAGTGCAGAACAGATAGAGTATTAGAAGTTATCAATCTTATGTCTCCATGAAATGCTTGTTTATTTTAGAATTTTACTAGCAGTATGATCATGAAAGGTAATATATATCTGAAGTATTAAACCATAACTGATCTTACAGGTAAATGCAAAGAATGCAGTGAACAAGAAATTTACAGCAACATTGAGAAGTGTGGGGCTAGATGAGGACTTTGTACAGACTCGTAGTTCCCATGCAGGAAGTGTCAGAGATGATACTGCAGATGACTATGATGATGACTTTGATGCCAGCTACAGCAAAAGCCGGGATGAGAGCCTACAGGTCGAATCATAGAAAATCTCCTCCTCAAATTCTCCTCTCAAGTCAGCAAACTTATCTCCCTTTGTAGGATTTCTGGGATTTTTCAGATGATTTTGTTCTCCGATTTGCTTTGATTCAGTGGTTTTTAAATTTTAAAGAATTGTTAGAAAAATGAAAAAAATCTTCTTTTTTAATATCAGAGATAAACATACTAGTACATGTACCAGGAATTAATAGCATGTAGTTTTTTTTCAGTTGAGTGTGAATATTTCAGAGAGACAAAATATTAATAACAAATATCTGTGCATATTTAATTCAGTTTCCATAAAGATAGGTTTTTCTTCAGTACAGGTAAATGTTTAAAATACTAGAAATAATTATGAAGATACTTATTGTAGATTAGAGGATTAATATTTTACTGCATGTATTTATAAAAAGTATTAGACTAGTATCAAGAAAATTCGTATTTATCAAAGAGAGGTTTATGTTTACATGGAATTTTGTTCAATCATTTTACCAGTACATACATTCATCAGCTTAAAGAGGAATCAAGGCAAAGAGTTTATTACACAATTTTATCACAAATTATTAACTGTGTCCAATAATTAGCATTTCCACAAATGTTAAAAACTCTCAAGCAATATTTATGGAGAATGGATTTGTAAATGTGGTTACACAAACTCTTGTGCTGTATTTATTAATATATTTGTCATACAAAAAAGTGCATTTTTTTTTAAATGATGGTTCATGTTACAACTCAATTCTGCAACAAGAAGTAGTTCAATACCAATTACTCAGATATTAAGTCAAAATATGTCATCTGTCAAATACAGTTTTATGATGCATCACTTGGCGATAGTTTGTTTGGCGATGAGCTGTTTTTACCAACTTAGCGTCCCAGCTGTTATAATCATTTTAAAGTCTAGATTTTTTCTGAATATTTTACATTTTCCTTGTTATATATGTCTATTTATTCACTGCATGCTCATTGCAATTCCGTCCATATTTCACAAGTCAGATAAAATAAAAATGGGTTTGCAAGCCTAACATTTAATTAACTAGCATCTTGTTTGCCAATTTATTGAATCTTCAAACTGGTTTAGATATCTTTGGGTTTTTTATTGTACTGTATACAGCTTTGATTTTGTGTGTAGCCTGAATGATTCCTTTGTATACTGAGTTCTTACTTCAACAGACTTGAGCATATGTTATACTCAGCCCTTATCCAGCATAATTAAGCACCCCATGTTAACATTTTTGGAAGTCTAGTTCTCAAGTAACCATTAGCTCTGTCTGGACCAAACTTTCAGGAATAATACATCAAGGGATGCATACTACCAATGTCTCACTATATTCTCCAGATGTGTTATAAATACACATGATTTTACCTTATCATATGGAACTTACTGAACTCTCATTTATTAAAAAAACTTGGATTCACTGGTAGCTTCTACTTGTTAGATTGAGCTTGTCAATCTTTGAGACTTTGACTGCCTTTTTTTTTTTTACTCTGTTTTTAAAAGTTGAAACTTTTTTTGTCCCTTATTCATTCTTGAAAGTTTAACTTAACTTCTTATCAACATTGTTTATAATTTTATTCTCTTGTGAAACCATTAAAATCAAAACTGGCAGAAAAAATGTTAAAAATTTGATCATCATTTACAACATTTATTAGCTTGCATCCCCATGAAATGAAATCTCATCTTGTTACTGTGATAATGTGTACATTGTATCTTATAGAGAATTTAACATATTTATATATATTATTCTAACTTGATATGTAGAAATAGGCCATTGTTAGAAGTTTTTAAATTAAAATTCAAAACTTTCTTACTATTCTTGTCATTATTTCAAACTATAATTGTGAAAAGAATTCTTCAGGACTGAGGAGCAGGGCTTTCCCTGACTTCTTTTGGAGAATTAAGATTTGTACACCTCAAGTACCAAGAATATTTTATATACATGTATACATTTCTTTCAGATGTAAACAAGAGGCCCATGGGCCACAATGCTCACCTGAGTAACTGGCTATGCTGTTCTTCAGCTGATTTATGCCCTAGTATTTTTCTATGTAAAACTTTGATCGTCCAGTGTAGCTCCACTCTATCTTGGAAAGGGGAAGGAATGGCTACATTTTAATAATCTTGATTTTACAATACCTGAGAATGTTTCCATATCAATATGACTAATCAAGGCTTTGCTGCTTTTGAAAAGAAGTTCAAAGATTTTAGGCTATAATTCATATGCAAAAATTTGTTCGTTCATTATGGCAACACCCTACCTCTGGAGGTCATGATTTAAATAAACTTTAATCTACACTACCTAAGGATGTTCCATATACCACATTTGACTATTCTGAGAATATGTTTTTGGTGCATTTTTCTTCTGAATTTTTCAATTGAATTGGAACTTCTTGCACACATACAGAGGAAGCACTGAATAAATTAGCCTTGCTTGTCCTCTTGAATTTCATGAGGTCCCAAGATTCCTGTCAGAGACATTTGAATTTTTTGTTTCTCCTGAGTTTGCTTGATGGCCATCAATCTCTCTCTCTTCCAGGAACAGGTCTTGGTTGTCTTCACTAGCAAACTCCTACAAAAGGATTCCCAAAATTTGACACTTACCTTGAAACAGCAGAGTAAGAAAAGTTTTTGAATTATATTAAAATCAGCCAATTCTTTCCCTGATCTGTACTAAAAAGTTCCTTAGGTGCTCCTTGAATGCTGCAATGTCTTGGTCAAAGCTACACAGATCTTCAATGAATATTTTAATCGGGGGCTGTAAATAAACATAGGTAATCAAAGATTACGAAGCTCACCTCGACGAATGTTATCTACATGTAAGGCAAATTTCACATATTTTTTTTCTAGTTAGGGTACATCCCAAGATCAATATCCATGCAAGTTTGATTTAATTATAGACCTGCTCAAAAAACTTTTGACCTGTTTAGTAATCAAGAAAATTTTGGTCAGTTCCAACATCCAAAGCAAGTCTGGAAGTTTTCATCCTTAGATGCACCATCTATGCAAGTTTAATCATAACAGGCCATAATATTATATAGCTACTTCAAAAATATTACCCTGGTCACTCATCTGGAAAATGTATGTCAGATTCAGAATCCAAGGCAAGTCTGGAAGTGTCCATCCCTAGATACATCATCCATGCTAATTTGGTTAAAATATGGCTAAAATTCACTCATGTGGAAAATCTAGGTCAGATCCAGCATTCAAAGCAGGTTGGTTAGTGTACATCCCTAGATGCATCATCCATGAAAGTTTGGTCCAGGTAGAGCTTATAGTTACTTGGGAACGAGACTACTCCTAAATCTAAACCTGGTCTCACATGTGGAAAATCTAGGTCAGATCCAGCATCCGAAGCAAGTGTGGTAGTGTCCATCCCTGGATGCATCATCCATGCAAGTTTGGTCCGGGTAGGACTTATAGTTACTTGGGAATGGACCTGCTCCTAAAACTTTAACCTGGTCACTCATCTGGAAAATATAGGTCAGATCCAGCATCCGAAGCAAGTGTGGTAGTGTCCATCCCTAGATGCATCATCCATACAAGTTTGGTCCAGGTAGGGCTTATAGTTACTTGGGAATGGACCTGCTCCTAAAACTTTAACCTGGTCACTCATCTGGAAAATCTAGGTCAGATCCAGCATCCAAAGCAAGTGTGGCCATGTCCATCCCTAGATGCATCATCCATGCAAGTTTGGTCCAGGTAGGGCTTATAGGTACTTGGGAATGGACCTACTCCTAAAACTTTAACCTGGTCACTCATCTGGAAATCTAGGTCAGATCCAGCATCCAAAGCAAGTGTGGTAGTGTCCATCCCTAGATGCATCATCCATGCAAGTTTGGTCCAGGTAGGACTTATAGTTACTTTGGAATAGACCTGCTCCTAAAACTTTAACCTGGTCACTCATCTGGAAAATCTAGGTCAGATCCAGCATCCGAAGCAAGTGTGGCCATGTCCATCTCTAGATGCATCATCCATGCAAGTTTGGTCAAGGTACGGCTTATAGTTACTTGGGAACGAGAGTACTCCTAAATCTAAACCTGGTCACTCATCTGGAAAATCTAGGTCAGATCCAGCATCCGAAGCAAGTGTGGTAGTGTCCAACCCTAGATGCATCATCCATGAAAGTTTGGTCAAGGTAGGGCTTATAGTTACTTGGGAATGGACCTGCTCCTAAAACTTTAATCTGGTCACTCATCTGGAAAATCTAGGTCAGATCCAGCATCCGAAGCAAGTGTGGTAGTGTCCATCCCTAGATGCATCATCCATGCAAGTTTGGTCCAGGTAGGGCTTATAGGTACTTGGGAATGGATCTGCTCCTAAAACTTTAACCTGGTCACTAATCTGGAAAATCTAGGTCAGATCCAGCATCCGAAGCAAGTTTGGTAGTGTCCATCCCTAGATGCATCATCCATGCAAGTTTGGTCCAGGTAGGGCTTATAGGTACTTGGGAATGGATCTGCTCCTAAAACTTTAACCTGGTCACTCATCTGGAAAATCTAGGTCAGATCCAGCATCCGAAGCAAGTGTGGCCATGTCCATCCCTAGATGCATCATCCATGTAAGTTTGGTCCAGGTAGGGCTTATAGTTACTTGGGAATGGGACTTGCTCCTAAAACTTTAACCTGGGACGCCGACGCTAACGCCGACGCCGGGGGTATAGCATAAGCTCATCTCGACTTCGTCGAGGTGAGCTAAAAATCAACATCATTATTTTAAACTCAACATAACTTCTTATTCTATGCTCATTTATTTACTGACAGTGTTTTGAGAACTTGCTCATGAAGTTTAGGGAATGCAGATTTAAGGAGATTCATAAGAAACTGTTGGATGCTGTGCAGTTTAAGAGCTTTACATGTACAGTTGAACTTCAGTATCTTGAACACAGCCCAGTATCTTGAATACCAGTGGAAATATCAAAGTGATTGGGAAGTCCTACATGTAACCACATATTTCTTAAGTATTTTACCCTTGACATCACAAACCCTCAGATACCTGAAAGTTTTTTTCTCCGTCCCATCGAGTTCAAGATAACAAACTTTGACTGTACATGTATTTAGGTGTGGTACATTTTTTTAACACGGGCTTATTTCTTGCCTGAAAGTGTCAAAATCCTCATATAAAGGATCCTCAATGCAGAATTATAAGTTTGCTCAAATCATGGCCCCCTGGTGTAGGGTAGAGCCACAATAGAGGATACATATTCTATACATTTGAATTCTTAAAATTTTTATCACAAGACCAGCAGGGCCATGCCTAGTTAAATGCAAGTATTCTCAGGTAGTGAGGATTCAAGTTTGTTTAAAACCATGGCTCCATGAGAAAGGATGGGGCCATAAGAACTAATAAAAGTTGGAATGAAAATTGTTCTCAAGAACCACATAGCAATGATCGATGATACTATCCCAGCAGTGCAGATTTAAGTTTGTTCAAATCATGACGACAAGGCCAGGTGTTAGGGTGGGCCACAATAGGGAATCATTGATTTACATGGGAATATGTACAGGGAAAATCTAAAACTAAAAATACGTCTATAAAACATGATGCACCGCTTAGGGTTTGTAAATACTTAATACATTAAAAAAATGTACCCTTTTCTTTGTTTAACATCACAGTAGTGAGTTCAAGGTCATAGGGAAGGTTAAGGTCTGACACTGTTAAATAGCTCTCATCAATTTGTATTTATATGAATTTGATGGAAATATTAAAAAAAAAAATTGTATTTATATTAATTTGATGGAAATATTTTTAAAAAAGTTTCTTTAAAAATGATCGAGTTTTAAATATATTAATACTTGTAAATTAGTAATATGTCAAAGGTTGAAGAAATTCCAGAGACCTAAATATATTTTTCAATCTCTTTCTCAAGAATGAAAATATATTTAGGTCTCTTGAATTTCTTTCTCAAGAGCAGGATCAATATCTAAGATGAGCATTTTGGCCCATAGGACTGTTGTTTAAAGTTTGTACACCCTAATTTAGTTATGAGAATGAAGTTTATTTTTTTTCAATATATTATGCATGCATCAATTAAACTGTTGATATTAATTCATTTGAAGAGAGCAACAAGGTGGCATTTGGAAATCTTGATTTTGCACCTCATTTCAGCAAAATACTGCACAAAAAAAAAAAAAAAAAAAAAAAAAAAAAAAATCAGAATTGATGATACCATTACTGGTAATTATTTGAAGAGATCTAAATTATTTCAGTTGTTGCATTGTGCATATAATACCAAAACTTCTCCTCTGCTTTTAAGGGCTTGGAACCTTCTGCTTGAAAAAATATGCATATATTTTATTTCAAGCAGGCAGCATTAAAAGTTTTGTGCTTTTTTCTGCTCTTTTTTTCTGTTTTTTTTTCTATTTTGTCTTTCTTTCTTTCTTTTTTTGTTTTTGTTTTTTTTGGTTGTTTTTATTTTTCTTCTTTTCTTTCCTTTTTTTTCTTTCTTTTTCTTTTGTTTTGTTTTCTTTTGTTCTTGTTTTTTTTTTTTTTTTTTTTTTTTTTTTTTTTTTTTTTTTTTTTTTTTTGCACAAAACTTGCCAATGAGATCAGACAATTTAACATTCACAAATCACCATCTTACATAAACATTAATCACGATTTAATATTTACAAATCACAAATTTACATTTACAAATTATAACTTAACATTAAAAAATCACAATTTTACATTTTCAAACACAAAACGTAATTTCATATCAAAATTTATCAAACACATTCACTGCATATTTAGTCACATCATGCATTCAATTAGACAATAAATTAATAATCAGGAACAACTATACAAAAAGTATAATACTGGTACAATAGC